GCACTTTCTGGTGAGGATGTTCAATCTCAAATGAATGAAAATGTGGCGGAATTTACCCATTGGGCCTGTGGTTGGATCGGAAAGTTATCCAGTAATCTTGATGAGGAAATTCTCTCCATCCTTCACGTTCTTCTCCAAAGTATGCCACTACATTTCGACGTTGGAGAGTGCCTGCTAATACTGACTGGGCAACTAACTCAGTTGCATACTAATACAAACGTTAGATACTTGTTAAAACCGCTCGCTAATTGTGTCACTCTAACGGACTACACGAAATTTGCACGCATTCGTCCCGTAATAAATGAGATTACAGCCTCTTTGATGCATCAGAGCCGTGTACATCTGGAGCAACCGAAATTGAGCGAGTTACCAAAAACATTAGAAGCGGTTATCGATTTTTACAGCGACGTCCTGGTGAACTACCGATTCAAGGATGGACACGATGAAGGAGATGCGTTTTTCACAGCCAACCTATTGTTCCTCTTTGCTGAGCCTCTATTGGTTCTAGATTACACATCTGAGTTCGAGTTACTTTTTTCTCACTCGTTGCGACTAATTAATCAGTCAAAAAACACCCCCTACGCACTGCTAGCCAAGGCAGCTCGCCTCTCAGAGCATGGCAATGAAGGTAACTTGGATGCAACTGCAGAGAACTATCCATGCCTTATCTTCACCTCATTGTTGGGAATTTTATCCTATGTGATGTTACATGCCACCCCCAAAGATTTGCACAACTGTTGGCCTCTCGTCTTTTCAAAAGCTCACTACATCAACCTTGTACACCCAATATTGAACTATACACTGACTGTCCGCAGTTACCATAACTTACAAAACACAGAACATGAAAAGATTAACGCACTAAAGTCACCTCCGGAAGTTATTCAGAAAAAAACTGTATCACGCTCGCTGGAATTGTTACAAGCAATTTTGCATTTCTGTCTTAATCCATTGAATTCGACTTGGTGGTCTGAAGATCATATGGATTATATATGGCTGTTAAAGAAACTTGCAATTCAGCCTGTATCTGGCGAAACGTTACCTGAAGTGGTAACTGACTCGATTTCAATGGTTGACAGGCTGTTTAGTATGAGTACCTATTCCGCACGGTATCGATTGTTTTGCCGCACTTTGGATCCACGTCAACCTGGTGAACATCATGGGTGGCGCGGGCACATGATCACTCTTTGTAAAGATTATCTTCATCAGGCATGGCTGGAATGTCTGAACGCCGGTTCAACTGCAGTGGCCTCTCAGGAATGTGAGGCTGGTGAAGAAACCCCTTATCTTCCCTTTGAACAGCGTTGTTTGTGTCAGCTCGCTGAGCTTATTTTTGTCTACCCTCTCCCCTCTTCAACCGATGCACTCATCGATCAAAGTAGCTGGGTATTGGCTGCTCTCAATATGGCCTTGTACATACTCCTTCGATGTAACACGATATGCATGATTCGTGACCTTTCTCCAACGTTAGGGGTGGCATCTGACGTTGGCATAGTCCCTTATCGAGCGTTGTTACGGCAAACCAATTCTAGCTCTCGTTTTGATGACTTTTTTTTAAAACCGTTGGAAAAGGATCTGAATTGTCAAATTACGGAAATTCAGACCCGGGTCCATGCTCTTGAGATGTCACTCAAGTCTACCGCAAATCCCACCGAGAAAAACCGTCTCAATACTGAACTCAATGTTCAACAATCAACTTTGTTGCGACTCCGACTTCTCAAAGTAACCTTGGAACGTGTTCAGAAGGTTCATCAGGATTTATATTCCAAGGTTTTCTTGTGACTGTTAATAAAACGCTGCATTGCATTTTTGTGTTTTTCCTGGATCGTACTGTGTTAGACGACAACCCGCTGACGGTGTTACCTCGGTTCGCGATGAGGCGTTTACTGCCGCAACTTCTCAGCTCAGCAAAGAAACTAATAAATAACAACGCAACCTGAGTTGCCAGTATCCTCTTCAGCGGAAATTTCCAAGTTACTTTTTTCTTTTGCAGAGTAGGATGTTTATGCGCCCATTACGTCTTTTGTGGGGCTTGGAGCGGCTTGCGAGAATTCGCCTATTTTTAAGGTAAGCTCTTGAAATCCACTTGATGTTGGTTTCTGCTTCTTTAACTATGACCGTCCCGTCAACCAACTCAACTCAGATGTTTAGACTTAACCGTGTGTTGCTGTGGTTTGACTTCCAATGGTGTCGCTCATCTGTGATGTCCTTCCGCCATGTGACTTGGGGGAAGGACAAGGATCAGGTTTCCTATCCCGTGCCGATAGGGTTGTACAAAAAGGCATTACCTTGCAAAGGCGGGGGTTCGATCTTGTGATCTTATGCTTTTCTTAAACCACCCACTTTTCATTGTTCTGCTCCACTTGCGAAGTAGCACTGTGCTCTTGTTCCTAGTAATAGTACGAAGTTAGCGTAGTGTACCTGTAGTCAGTAGTCAGTTAATTCAGTTGTGAGCGTTTGCTAAATGTATAATACTTACTGTCTCACTTCCACCTAAGCTTGTGCGCATGTTGTACGGAGCTGCTGGAGATGTGTACGAACGCGCTCACACCTGTTAGCAGTGAGAAAAACATTCACAAATGGCACTTTAAAGGTAGTTTGTGAGGAACTGTCGTACATTTCGTTTCGGACGATGCTGAATGAATTGATCCACATTAGCAGTTTTTTTCATATAGCTGGACTTTGCATGGGCAAACAGTGAAAATCACTATACCACTTTACCGGTAACGACATCTATATTTCTGTTAACTCAGCGTTCAGGGAATAAACGGTTGAAAATGCTTAACATTTCCGTTGCATGAGGTCCCTTCTTATTCCCTAAAGAAAAGCGCTTCGAAGAAGTGTAACCAACTCTTCCCGCCGTGAAATTATTCGGTAAGAATGTATGTACTTCCAATAAAAACAACCCTAGATTGCACGGGAATAGGTTATCGCAAAAGATGCTTTGTGTGGTGTCCTGCATGCCACACAGCATCGTTAAATCCGTATCTTATAGCACTTCAGGCATATTTGCTGAAAAACGTTATAGCTTTTGTCCAACGAAAATGATGCCTCGTCTCGTAATTAGCTGATTTGACATGACCGAGGGCCGTCTAGATAAAACATTATCTGCTGATTGCTCGTCAGCTCACCTAAGGATCGGTTAGTCATTACCAAGTGTCCCTGAGTAGAAATTTCGTATCCCCGGGAATCCGGTCGACGAACACATGGTGCCAGTTGATGCACCTTATACCATCCCCGTACGCCCACCTGATGTGTCCGGATTAGGACTAAGCACTTTTTTGAATCCGTACACTGTAGTAAGAAAGAAGGAAAGCGTTCAGCTGTAGCACCCTTCCGGTGCCAAGCTGCCATGCCACCCGAAGGAAGCACGAGGGCTGGGATACTGCCAAGTTGCCCAAGCCTAGACAGGTGAAGTCGAGTGGCGGAGGGCGGATTCGACCACGGACCCTTCCGGTCAGTAAATTCGCGCTCTAACCACTTAGGCCATCTCGCCCCGTACACTGTAGTGTGCTATGGTGAGTGCTTTTACCGTTATGAGTGTGTTATGTTCCAAGTAAATCAATAAAACCAATTCTCTCCATGTCCACCAAAGCGGTGTGGTGAGGTTTTACGACTATGGAGAGTAATCCTTGAGAGAAACTTCCCTTGTGAGGGGAGTGCGCTCTCTCCCGTCCCCCGAAGCGCATGCTCTGATGCGAACCGCCGTCCGTTTCCTCCCATTCACGGACAGATTTTGTACCAAACTAATGTGATCCATGTGTAACTCATCGTACACCTATTCGTCACTATTTGTCCTCAACTAGCAATGTGTAATTAGGTTTCGCTTGTTCCCGCTCCTCAGGATTATCTGACCGCATTTCCCGGCGTAACCAGCTCCCCTAATCCTGTTTTCAAGCGTTTGCAGCACTGAACTTCGATTTTCCCCTTCCAGTTTCACAGGTCAGAATGAATCTATGACATCGGTCAAATGTGCCCAACGGTTTGCTCCCGCGAATTACAGGATGCTGAAGACTCAGCTGTCACATCATTACTCACGGATACGTTTTGCTTGTAGGTTTTCTAGAAAACTTATTCCTGTTCGTAATCTACTGTTTCTTCGGGTGTTTAATGGACGCAGTTTGATCAACATTAATCATCCTTAGTGTTCCAGCCTACATTGGACAGTACTTTTGCATCATCATTGTCAGCTGTAAGAACCGCGTACTTGTCGTACAGTGGTTGTAGCTGCCGCAGTTTCGTTCACCGATGATTTGGGGGGTTAGATAGCTGCGCATCGCACCCGCGAGCTGTTAAGTTGGTGCATAAATCCAGTACTGTCAGTGGGCTGTCAAGTGGGGGGCTTGGAAAAGGAGCTATGCATTGAAGGCAATAGCTTTGATGCACGAGCGCCATTGAGGGCGTGACTGGGCCATGTCTGACAATGTCTCTAGCCATTGATGTGGCCCGTCTCGGAGTTTCCATCCAGGGACCCGCAGGACCCCATCCAGGACCAGCGCAGCTGAGTTTGCTGGTAATGGCTTTCACACTTCGCTGCCAAGTCATTGTTTGGCCGCCTCTGGCTCTCTTCCACCCCTCACATGGTTGGGCGAAAAGAGCCCTTCGAGGAAGTCGGTCGACTGGCATATGCAGCACGTGGCCAAGCCAGCGCAAACTGTGCAGTGTGATCAGTTCATCTATCGAGGGTGAGTTATTTCTCCTGAATATCATTCGACGTACTTCAGCATTGCTGATCCGGTGTTTCCACCAGATTCGGGCAATGCTCCGAAGACATCGATGGTCAAACACTGAAAGTCTTTTGGCGTCCTCGGCGCGCAGCGACCAGGTTTTTGATCCATATATTAATATGGAGCGCACCGCAGCATTGTACTTTTGCATCAGTTCAAAGGTATTCGATGAAAGCCAAATATTAAGATTTCAAACCTGATGGTAAAACCTACGACCATGCTAGCTCGTGAAATCTGCGCTTTCACCGACTTATGAACCCACAATTTGGTTCCTTAATGGCACTCACATTGTTCATGCCAACAAAAGGCCTGTCTCGTTGTCCACCAGCCTACGTCTATCTTACCACACATCGGCATCAAAGTTTCGAACGTAATGCCACATTTGGCTCCGCGCAAACGGAGTGTGGTTTCCCGGACTGCAATAGCTCAACCATTGTTGACTTGTGGATCCGCTTCAAACATCAGCCACACATGTGCAATGCCTTCGCAGACCCGTGTCATCTGTTTGCTGTGTACTACACTTTGGCGGAGTGTCCGGAGACCAGCCGTTCATAATAACCGAACATCACGTCATTTGGACGGATGTCACGTGTAGGAGACGGACCAAACGAAGGCATACTCTGATTGGTCAGAATGTTAGCCAATCCGGCTCGAGCATCTTTGACTCGCCACCTCACGTAGATTCTGGCACGAGCTTGTGGAAAACTCTGTGACTACCCTATAAGTACAACTGTAATAATTTTCCCTTGTCTCCATGAAGGGCTCTGTAGAGCTACCGTGCCTTTTTATACACCATAGTGGGCGGAGCAGGAAGCCAAGGGACTGATGCCGAGCTGCACTACTGTTCAGCAAGACACAACACGGAATCATCGCGACTTTTATGTGTAATATCAGCTTGAGGCGGGGCGATACCGATAATTTTGCTAGGTGACCAGCATATCAGCTGGATACCAAAGCTACCTACTGAAAGTCGGCAACTTTATGCTACAGATTTCAGACAGTAAACGGAGTTTGAAGAAGCACAAATGAAACTGACTGAGATGTTAACGCAGAAGTAGAATGTCGAAGGGCCCAATGAACGTGGGTCTTCAAGATCGCTGCCATTTCAGCCACTTTTGACTGTGCTTCGTTGATATTATTATTCCCAAATTGTCGCATGAACTCGGTCAAGCTTCTTTATCAGTAATTAGCAGTCGGAACTTCCTGTTCGGTGTCCGTTATCAGTGGCTAAAGCTGGTCAAGAAACACGACGAAGATATTATCAGAAATGTAGGCGGTTTCAATCGGTTATACGATCATTACAAGCCCAGTGCGATGATAGAGAACCAGACAGTGCCTCATTCCTGTCTACAATCCTCCCTTCACACCAGCATCGGTTTTTGACAGTAGAGCTGAGTTGAACATGACCCAAAAACGTCTCTACAGTACCCCGCCACTAAATGTGATTGCTTGTTCAATCCAAAACCTCACACTGACTTGATCAGTCAAGTAACTCCAATGAATCCCTATTAATTTCGGCTACCAAATTTTTCGAACAACTTAGTCCCCGGTTATCCCCACTGCGATGCGTGGCATTTTGCATGTTTTTTTCGTCGTGGCCCGTGTGACTTCATCCGAATACCATTTCCAGAATAACGCTACTCAGGTGGACCAATCGTAGCTGAAACTAACTGCATAAAGCACAGAATGCGTTTCGCCGTAAGTTAAGGTTGACGGATAAACTTTATCGCCCCTTCAGTTTATGTGACACTGCCGCACAAGTTACGTACTACTTTCATTCTGAAGCTAGTTTTTTTTTGTTTTGAGGCTAGTTGTGGTGGTCTGATCGGTCTATCAATCCCATTCGAAACATCGCAGGCGGTCACTTATTTTCTGACGTTCCCCGGTAGTAGTCGTCACACTTGAACCAAAATTATACCGTTTCGTTAGTCTCGTCCCTATCATAGATGACCTGCGGTCAAGTCTCCGAGCCAAGGGCTCCGGTTAAGAGTCGCAATCGTCTTCCCGTCGGCCGCCCTGGCAGTACCTTAACCCACGGTACACATGCCAATAATGTCATGCCACTTCGGTATTCGCGTGGTACAAGTAGCCGAATGGTGTTACTTGCTGCAGACGGCATGGCCGGTAAGCGCAAACGGACTGCCGCTGATCCCTCGCATTAATTAACTCCCTTTCTGTCCTATTTAACGATCACTCCTCTGTTGATCCAAGCCCCAGTCATTTCTGTTGCGCTTAAGGAAGTAACTAATAGTAATAATAATAATAATAAATGGTCCAGCTGTAGCACCCTTGCGGTGCCCGAAGGGAGCATGAGGGGCGGGGTACTGCCAGGTTGCCCAAGCCTAAGCAGGAAGTGGCTGACATGTCACCGCTGATGTCTGTCGCTTGCCGATCTTGTTCCTCTGTTTTCACCACAGACTTTAGTGTACGAACTCTTAAGGCGATCGGTCAACAACGTATAATTATGTGCCTTTCCGTCTTGACAAGCCTTCGGTTCGCACGGCCGCATAATTTCTCACCAGCGTTGTTCAAAGACCATAGTGAATCTTTGCGATTTACCTTGACTAGGTTGGTTAAACTAATTTAATAACAGTAATGCGTTCCAGAAAACCGAAAGCAATCAATTAGTGTAGCTCTAATTAAAAAGAGACACCCAAAGTAACTGCTCGTAAGTAAGGTAATTTCACTTTTGGGCAACTATTTCTTGACTCAAGATAAGTTGGCTTCAGAAGTGTCCCATATACCGGTGTCCCACGAGCTGTGGGCGGTTTCCAGATCTGCACAAGTTACGACCCAGCGTTAACTACTGCTTGGAAACTAGGTCCCTCCATATCATCTTTAAGCGTAGTAAACTGAGCCATCCTCCACATGGGACAGAAGCCAAGTTTTGTTTGAAAATTTTAGCATTGATCTTGCCAGATCGGTGCCTGAATTATTGTAAACGTTATCGCTGAGGGATCTGAGGTCGGTCTGGTAGGCCGAAACATAGCTTTGGGATCTCGTTGTTGAACAGTTACCGAATAACGAGCCCCGGCCCAAACCTGTCACCTTATCGTGATGGTCGGGCTTCTGTGCTGCAATGATCCCTTGGGCTATATTGGCTGGAACCCAGTTCCTAAATTTTAAACCATGCCAAGAAGGCAAACGGGGAGCCGCCCGATGACTGCGAGTAATCGTATTACGATGCGGTCTGGAGTCGTACTGTCCTCTGTGATAGGAGTGCGAAGGCAGTAAGGTGTTTCCCCCAGGCGACCATCATGTCCATATGAAAGCAGCAATGTCGACGTCACCCAACGAAAGACGGATGAGAAAAGATCGGCCCGCACACTCTCATCGGCCAACGGCTGACCGTGACCGCTGACAGTGGAAATAATTTTAAAACCAAAGAGCCCGGTGCTGCTCAAAAGCACCTGCTGTGTGGAGACGCATCAGGAGTGAGACAGCAATGCCCTACTTCCTGTGCCCTCTGGCCAGACCGGCCTCCTGCAGCCAAGTAGGTCAGACTATTGAGTCATTGGCTTCCAGGAAAAGCCTAACAACCGTTGTTTCGCGGTTCAGACTCTTGAGTCAGAGGCTAGGGGCAGAGTCCCCGGACAAAACCCTACATCTTTCCACTGCCTTGTAGGTCTGACTTTTGAGTCAAAGGCTCAAGGTTGAGTACTTCAACTAAACCCCGTTCTTTGGCTTGGGCAACCGAGAAGTATCGTTTGCCCTTGCAGCTCTTTGGTCACCGACCTTCTCCTTCCCAACTCATCGTACAATACAGTGTAATCAACCTATCTGCCAGTCCTCTGGCCACTGCTCCGTGTCTCAACCGTTGCCCAGAAAAATAAACCAAAATAATCATCTACTAACCTCAAAAGATCTCATCCATGTTGCAGCCTTTAATGTCCGCACTCCATGTTGAATTGGGCAACAGGCAGACCTTACTGAAACCTTACTTCCCCTTTCTATCGATGTATGTTGTGTCTCCGGAACACGCATACAAGACCCCAGTTTGATGGTGCTCCTCAAGCCGCTTAGGCCGAGCCCAGATGTTCCACAGTTCACTCTTCGGGCATCCGGTGATCCTGACGCAATGGGTCGTCGTATCTACGATGTGACCCAAGGCTGAAGGTGCCTTAGTGGGCTAGATCCCAGTAAACAGTCGCCTTTGTGCTGTGCGTTTGTCGACACGGCAAATGGTGTTTGTTCAGGAGTACGGTAATCCTGGTGGGTGATATGAATGCCCAAGTTGGACGACTAAGTCTCAGAGAAGCACAGTTGGGTGGTAGGTTGAGAGTCGATGCAGAGCGTATGGACAATGACGAGCGGCCTCTTCAGTTGTGTGCAGATCATCGTCTGCTCCTGGCCAGTACGAACTTCCAACGCAAACGCACACACCGAGTTACTTGGAGTCCACTTACCACAAGACAGTCGTATACTCAATTGGGCCATATAGCTATCAGTTGCCGATGGAGAGCTTCAGTTAACGATTGTCGTTCCTTCTGGGGTACGCAATTTGACTCTGATCACGCTATCGTGCAGGCCCGCTTGGCACTTCGCTTTCCGCCAGCACTACGCGTACCAAAAGAGAGCAGCTCCGTTCATCAGCTTCGAAAAGTTTCAGTAGCTGAAGAATATCGAGCTGGTCTGGCTGGAAAGCTACTGGAAACTCACGCACGATTGCTTGGAGGATGAATGGAGGCCAGTTAAGGAGACAACACGGTCAGCTTTCAGAACTGCTTGTCCAGCCCGTCTGACTCGGCTCAGTGAACACTGGATATCTTCGGGATCAGCAGATCTCATTGCTGACAGAAAGGCCATACCAGCAACTAGGGACTATGATAGTGCACGCAGACCCTTCAAACACCGGATAATCAAGAGCTTGAAAGTGACAGAGAACGCTGGTGGATTTCGAAGGTCCGGGAGATGGAGAAGGCTATAGCTGCAGGCAACAGCCGCACCCTGATTCAACTGATCCGATCAACGGGTCAAAATAAGGCAGGTGTATGTGAGACAATATGCGAAAAAGACGAACAACAATTCATTCTCTCAATCGCCTTTGAGCGGTGGGCTTTGCACTTCCAAGAACAGTTCACCTGGTCTTCTTCAACACACCCGCTGGAAGAACCAAGCGGGACCGAATGGAACAGAGGCACCAACCCACTATCAGCAACCTAAATCCAGCGTGAGGTTCCAATCATGAAGTGCGGTAATGCGCCTGGCCCGGACGGCCTACACCCCGCGGTCTTCAAAGAAGGTGGCGAGGTCCTGTTTAATAGTCTGACAACCATACTGTGGGAGATTCGGGACGAAAACAGCATGCCAGCCGAATGGAGCTCCTCGGCCGTCATCCTTAATCCTCAAAAAGGGAGCAAAAGCGTCATGTGAAAGCCATCGTGGTATCAGCCTGGTATCGGTGCTCTCTGGCATCATTTAGCGCAGGTTGGTGGATTGTCGGGGGAGAAAGATTCGTGAGAATTAAGCTGGGTTTCGCCCTGGTCGAGGATGCATCGACCAAATCTTTACATTGAGACAAATCCTTGAACAGCACCACTCATTCAGGCGTCCCACGGTGGTCGGTGAGTCATTGGCTTCCAGGAAAAGCCTAACAACCGTTGTTTCGCGGTTCAGACTCTTGAGTCAGAGGCTAGGGGCAGAGTCCCCGGACAAAACCCTACATCTTTCCACTGCCTTGTAGGTCTGACTTTTGAGTCAAAGGCTCAAGGTTGAGTACTTCAACTAAACCCCGTTCTTTGGCTTGGGCAACCGAGAAGTATCGTTTGCCCTTGCAGCTCTTTGGTCACCGACCTTCTCCTTCCCAACTCATCGTACAATACAGTGTAATCAACCTATCTGCCAGTCCTCTGGCCACTGCTCCGTGTCTCAACCGTTGCCCAGAAAAATAAACCAAAATAATCATCTACTAACCTCAAAAGATCTCATCCATGTTGCAGCCTTTAATGTCCGCACTCCATGTTGAATTGGGCAACAGGCAGACCTTACTGAAACCTTACTTCCCCTTTCTATCGATGTATGTTGTGTCTCCGGAACACGCATACAAGACCCCAGTTTGATGGTGCTCCTCAAGCCGCTTAGGCCGAGCCCAGATGTTCCACAGTTCACTCTTCGGGCATCCGGTGATCCTGACGCAATGGGTCGTCGTATCTACGATGTGACCCAAGGCTGAAGGTGCCTTAGTGGGCTAGATCCCAGTAAACAGTCGCCTTTGTGCTGTGCGTTTGTCGACACGGCAAATGGTGTTTGTTCAGGAGTACGGTAATCCTGGTGGGTGATATGAATGCCCAAGTTGGACGACTAAGTCTCAGAGAAGCACAGTTGGGTGGTAGGTTGAGAGTCGATGCAGAGCGTATGGACAATGACGAGCGGCCTCTTCAGTTGTGTGCAGATCATCGTCTGCTCCTGGCCAGTACGAACTTCCAACGCAAACGCACACACCGAGTTACTTGGAGTCCACTTACCACAAGACAGTCGTATACTCAATTGGGCCATATAGCTATCAGTTGCCGATGGAGAGCTTCAGTTAACGATTGTCGTTCCTTCTGGGGTACGCAATTTGACTCTGATCACGCTATCGTGCAGGCCCGCTTGGCACTTCGCTTTCCGCCAGCACTACGCGTACCAAAAGAGAGCAGCTCCGTTCATCAGCTTCGAAAAGTTTCAGTAGCTGAAGAATATCGAGCTGGTCTGGCTGGAAAGCTACTGGAAACTCACGCACGATTGCTTGGAGGATGAATGGAGGCCAGTTAAGGAGACAACACGGTCAGCTTTCAGAACTGCTTGTCCAGCCCGTCTGACTCGGCTCAGTGAACACTGGATATCTTCGGGATCAGCAGATCTCATTGCTGACAGAAAGGCCATACCAGCAACTAGGGACTATGATAGTGCACGCAGACCCTTCAAACACCGGATAATCAAGAGCTTGAAAGTGACAGAGAACGCTGGTGGATTTCGAAGGTCCGGGAGATGGAGAAGGCTATAGCTGCAGGCAACAGCCGCACCCTGATTCAACTGATCCGATCAACGGGTCAAAATAAGGCAGGTGTATGTGAGACAATATGCGAAAAAGACGAACAACAATTCATTCTCTCAATCGCCTTTGAGCGGTGGGCTTTGCACTTCCAAGAACAGTTCACCTGGTCTTCTTCAACACACCCGCTGGAAGAACCAAGCGGGACCGAATGGAACAGAGGCACCAACCCACTATCAGCAACCTAAATCCAGCGTGAGGTTCCAATCATGAAGTGCGGTAATGTGCCTGGCCCGGACGGCCTACACCCCGCGGTCTTCAAAGAAGGCGGCGAGGTCCTGTTTAATAGTCTGACAACCATACTGTGGGAGATTCGGGACGAAAACAGCATGCCAGCCGAATGGAGCTCCTCGGCCGTCATCCTTAATCCTCAAAAAGGGAGCAAAAGCGTCATGTGAAAGCCATCGTGGTATCAGCCTGGTATCGGTGCTCTCTGGCATCATTTAGCGCAGGTTGGTGGATTGTCGGGGGAGAAAGATTCGTGAGAATTAAGCTGGGTTTCGCCCTGGTCGAGGATGCATCGACCAAATCTTTACATTGAGACAAATCCTTGAACAGCACCACTCATTCAGGCGTCCCACGGTGGTCGGTTTTCTGGATTTGAAGGCTGCTTTCGATTCTGTCAATCGTCAGCAACTTTGGCAGTGTCTGGTGATCAAAGGTCTCTTCCAAATTTCTCTCCCTTATGAGGACACTATATGCGAACTCCTGTGGGCGCGTACTTACGGGCGGGAAACTCTCGCCTAAGTTCACCACGTCCAGTGATGTAAGACAAAGCTGTCCTCTTCCCCTTTCCTCTTCAACTTCGTGATGCGCTACCACTATATGCGAACTCCTGTGGGCGCGTACTGGTATACGGGAAACTCTCGCCTAAGTTCACCACGTCCAGTGATGTAAGACAAAGCTGTCCTCTTCCCCTTTCCTCTTCAACTTCGTTATTGATGCGCTACTCGTTTTGTCCGACCGAGGCTGGGACAAACGAATTTCTCACCTTTTTTGAAGGTGGTATGCACAGGCTTAAATGAACAGATCCTGTTTTTCAAATGGCGCAAAATAATTTATAGAAAGGTTTAGGGTCCCGTTCCTCATTCGTTTGATAGTCGTAGCAATCTTCAGCTCGTTTAGCTCTTCATATTTGCCGTCATAAGGTGCCAAGGTCAGGTTGGTTCGGAGGTTTTGGTCTGAGTAAACGGGCAATGGGACAGTTGCTTGAAGTATTCCACTTGCATCTTGTCGTGACCATTGATAAAATCACCATTTGTGTCGCGGAACGAATGTTGTTGAAGATGGAATCTGCCTAAAGCCGTTTGAATGAGACTATGAAGTCGGTTGAAATCTCCCGCTTTTGATGCGGATCCCATAATTAATGCTGTATCCAATCAGTATGAAATGCGATCCCTCCTGGGGCAACCTACGATCTGTTGTCGCAGCACGCGATAGTCAACTCCTCCAGTGAAGCTTGCTCCTGTTTTCGGGATGAATGCATTGTATAAGTGTATATCCATGTTTTTGTCACAAAGAGCGTGTGTACTCCACAGTAGCTGAACTGATGTTTTCAGCATTATTTACTCATTGCCTACCAGCAACAACAGATTTTCAGGTTGGCTAGCATTTCTGATGTATAATCTAGTGGATACAGCTTCTGAAAGCATTTTTCGGTTTTCAGGGCATCTGAGTGGTGCAGTACTTTGGAAACGCCTTCGTCACGGTGAAGTACAGATTGTTCTATAACGAAGCAATCTTACGATTTGTCCTCCTGCGTCCCCATTATCGATGCCTCAATTGAACCTGCAGTCTTCACCGAATACATGCCAAAATGTAGTCTGTCTGCGCTGCTCCGTGACCGTTGTTCGTGTACTACGTCAGTTTCTCGGTGTACTGAAAGTGCGAACAGCTGACAATCAGTTGCTTGATGATCACGAAGTTAATAAGCCTGTCACTGTTCTGAAGGCGCTGATCGAGTATATGGTGAGTGCTGTCGTCTCGGCTGCTCACTCAGACGTTTCAGTCACCCCCTGTTATCAAGACAGCACACTACTGAGAAGCGTCTTATAGCTGACCGATATCCATAGGAGCTACACATGCTTTTATCCTGACTGGTGGGGTTAAGGATGACGCGAAAGTTCCAGCGGCTCATAAAAGTTCTTTTCTGGTCTTAGTGATCCCAGGCTGCATTTCGGTTGCTTCAGCCACTGGGAAAAAATCATATCGTCGAACTTTCATGAGGATTTAATTTGGGCTATCGCTGTGGACGACCTCCGGATAGTAGTGTTGCCTGTTAACCCCCTTTCTCCTCTATTGCATCTTTTCTATTCCTCTAGCGTCCTTCAGCGATTCCTCTCACACTTCTGAAAATTCCGGGTCATCAGACTCACAGGCGATGCATCTGCAACTAACGGACTCTGATTTGCGATCACGAATTCTCGAGGCAGCTCTAGACTACGTCCAGGAGTATGGATGGTCCCGCAATGCTGTAGAAGCTGCCTGTGTAGCCGGTGGATTTCCTCCTGGAATGCACACAATGGTCACCCCACAGGGGGGAGTTGATTTAGTGCTGTACTTTTACGCATCTCGCAATCAGCAGTTGGCAGATACTATGGTAGATTGGCGCACCTCAGATTCTTCGTCCTCATCAGCCAGCGTGGATGATGGTCTTCCACGGTAAGTGTAATGCAGACCTGGTGGGTTTAAGGCCAATGTGTGCGTTCTTTGACATGAGTTTCTCCTTCGCTATACAGATGCGGTGACCTGTCTCCGATCAAATAAACTATGCACTCAATTTATCATATCCACGGTGTGTGCGCCATTGCCGATTGGATTGGTACCGTCGGCAGACAACACATTAACGTGATAAGCCATTATAATATAACGAATATATGTATTAGGCAATTGCAGCTCATTTTCCTTTTGAACATCCGTTTCGTGAAGGAAACTGGGAGTTTTATAGAATATAGGAAGTATCCTTACATGAGAAATCTAGGTTTCTGGAAAAGCTTTGATTTGCCTTCTCTTATGAGCTATGGCTTTTGTGAGGGGCAGTGCAGCACGCATTACAGCAAAATCATAGGACTGTTCATATTTCCCACCATAATTTTATGCCCAATGGATGGATTGAAATGACTGAAATGATCGAAATGGTTATCAGAGAACAAACACGGCGCTTGCGCGAATATTACTTGGAAGAGCTGGTTCGAAAACACCAAAAGATGAAAAGCGTGCGGTGAAATTTTCTGCCCATCATCATTGTGTTGTCTAATGTAGAGAACTTTCGTGTATCACGACAATTTCGCTTAGCAACCTGTAATTCACTTCGCCATAGTGTGACATTTTCCGTATGATGATTAGATTTAAAGGTCGTTGATGTTTATACCTTTTTACACTCAGTATCCGCATCCTTTCAGTTGGGTTGATGTCAAGAATGAAATTTGACCGGTTCTTTGCTTCTAGTGATTGACTATGTCCCACTAAATTGTCTTTTTGGGGTATCCCATCCCCTATCCACCTGTCTTACTAATCAGTACTGTTAATTATCCTAATCTATAGGTTGAGAAAACCGCCCAGATGAAGGAGCCGGTTCCTACTCTGCATTTATTGTGCTTTTTAGAATTCCACACATCGGGTCATCGCGGGGGAATATTTTTTGAACAGCCATTATTATTACCCCTTTGTGGAGTTGTAGACATGGGGTGAGAGATTTGAACAAGATGCAAGAAAGACAGCTTGACCCAGCAACCCGTGGCTACTGAGGTATCATGTACAGGTATTGGACTGGACGAATGCCATTCATGATATCAAACCAATTAAAACCACATGCATACTTTCGTACTGAATCAAGAATCAGTAAATGGTTGGTTGGGGGCGGAGAAACACCAGCCAAAGTACCACTCAGTAAGTCGGATTGAGAGACTTTCGCCGCGAAAACGCTGGGATCCGAATGTTCTGGATCATTGGTGATCAGGTAATATTTGCCCGACAAGCTGTTTGTCTTCTGATGGGACCTGCTGCCCTCTGGCTAAACATCGCTTCATATCACTGACTGTCAGGCGAAACCCTACACCAAAACGGTCTTACTGCTCACTGTCAGGTATCGCAATGGCCAATAATCCCAGCTCGTACACGATTGATCAGAAGATGGGACCACTTGCCGGTCCAGCATCAGAACGTGCTCTGATTGATCGGAAATGATGACTGAATAGCCAATCATGTCGCAATACCTGCTGGATTCCGACTTCCAATAGCGCTTTGAGGTGTCGAAATTTCCGGAGTGTTTTCATTGCGCTAAACATTTTTTACTTGGTTTGGGCGTTTAATACACTATGTGCACTATCTGTGATTCTTCCGCTGAAAAAATTAACTTGGAGGATTCAGACCGAGAATTGAGCCGAGGCATCTGTTTCATACCAGCAAGATGCAATGTTATGATACAGGGCACCAGTGATACCGTTACTCATATTGATGTATGATGTATGTTGTATTGATGTATGTTCAACTTCCGCTGATTTTGGAAGACATACAGAGATCCGCATTAGACTGGTCTTATTTTCCAGGAAATCCGGATAACGGCTTCCCCATGATTTTACCCGAAATAAGTCCTCCGGGCGTATGGTCGACTCTATCTTAAATTAAACCTTTTGGTTTTCCACATCTTTATCCTACAGGTTCTCGTCACCGGCGGAGATGGACGCATTCCTTTATCGGGCACTGAAATTCCGATTAGAAAAGATTACCCCTGTTCTACCTGTTTGGCCCCAAGCTTTGGGGTTACTAGCGCTGCCTTCCAATATGCCTTCGTCGATTGGTTTGTTGGCCCAGCTGGTGGACGAAATATGGGCCCAATGCGGTGACCGTACTACTGATGTAGGTACTTCTCTTAGTACGAATAATTGAGTGGAACTTTTTTCCCTGGAGCGGTTATTAGTTAAATGAGAGCTATTCCGTATGCATCCCTAAGTCAGCAGCGAAACTTTCTCACATAACCGGCCAAATTCCCTCTACGAACAAAACCTTGTATTTTAGAGGTGGGAAACCCTTTGGTCTTCACTGTCAGTATCAGCATATGTACCTGTCCCGTGGTGTTTCTGCTGTTTTAACTTGCCTCCAGCGTTTATTTTCTTTTTTGTAATCCGGGTAATCCTGTGCCCAGATGACGTGGTATGCCAAACGCCTTGGTCTGGCTTACGTGTATAACTTGACGGAAGTGTATATGCTTCAAGATCGATCACCTAACCTCGCCGACTCATGGGTGTTCCTCGAAAGTCGTTTAGCGGACTTGCGTTCAATGAAACAGATGGATGTGAGTTATATCCTTTCTTTCTACTCTGATCATTTCCCTCGGTTAGACTGTGGGCATTGCTGCGATCAAGCTTTTAGGCATAGCTCTTCCAGCAATGCAGACTTTGATATCGATATCTTCTAGGAAGTACTGTTGATGATGCAACATCGAATTGCGCGTTGCTTAGTGCACATTAATCTGTCATGTTTTCACTCCGGTGTTCCTAAGCTGGTTGAATCTCAGTTATTTCTTGTGTAACTTTTTTAACGTTGCATTGTTCTAATGACAACCCATTTACAATCACACACCCATGTGCACGTTCCGGTTAAATGTGTCAAATCAATCAATTTGTCACCGATTTAGATTATCAGTTTTAGGTAGCGTTTCGTTCAAATACTTCGTAAGCTGCCACTCTTTAGGTTAAATGAAAATGCCCGTGAACTGTACTTCCGTGGTTGCAGCCCGTATCGCTCAGCTATACCTGTTCATAATTCAGATCCTACGCGCACAGTGGGATCACCGCAATTTCGATCAGCAGTATTGGTGTAGTCTGAGAAAAGTGTTTAATATTCCTCCTTATGTAACCTGACAGTGGAATCAGTGTACACGACTCAATGTTGCAAAGGGTCTAACACCTGTGGAAAAAAAACAGAAATATCTAATGTGCCTGAAAACTGTCTTAGCGAGTTATCCACTAAGCGTAGTACGATGAGAACTAGGTGTAAGTGGCACTTTTGGAGGAAGAAAACGCTACAGTAGTTTAGATAATTCGTTTGGCAAAATCCACTCTGTATGACATGTTCGCCACGTTACTGTGAAAATCTTCGAAAAGGCCGCTCATGGCATTCGAAACGTCGGAATGTAACACATTATTTCACTGCGCTGTAATTTGGCTCTAAAGTTTCCATGTTATGGCTTGTAAGGTAATTTTGAGTAAACTTACGTTTCCCAACAGCGTGGTACTCCCACAATGAGCACCAGCCTTGAGGATTTAGTCTAGCCTCGCCTTTCTCGTTCCACAGGGCTTGCCGTAGTTCTCCATTCATTTTCCGTTTTTTTTTCTGTCACATCGTACCTCGTAATATTGCGCCTTATTAGTGCCTGTTTGTGGACATATTCCGGTCCGTCAAAAAAGTTTCCTCCGGTTAGAGCCGTCATCCTCTGTAGTTCATTGTGTGGCAAAAAATTTTCTATTTCGTGATGTTCTCACGTTGGGGATTAGGCCGGTCGGCTTATCTTATCATACCAACAACTGTTTCACTTTATTGACAATGAACGTCATCGGCAGTATGTCATCTCGGTAGCAGCGGTCAATTAGCAGCCATCAAGCCCGTGTCGGAGATTATCCATAGGCTGACTTCATAGCCTATCCCCCACTTCACCTTGTGAACTGCACAGCGGTCCTTTGTATCGCCTGTATTGGACAGAGCTAGTGACAGCCATAGGCGGACCATCAAAATGTCATTATCACAACTTTCTAGTTTATCTGCGGTAGCCCATTCACAATAAGTTTTCTTTCATTTGTGTACGATCAGTATCCCAGCGTATCCCTTATGCAAACCTCGCTCACTGTGAGTTCGTCATCTTACCCTTCCGTCGGGTTTGTGTAAAGAAGGATTACCCACTGAAGATCACCACCTGGCTAGCCGTTACCCGTTGAGTGCAATCAGTTTCCTTTACTCCAAACGTAGTGCCCCGATACAGAATCCACTACTTACGCTGTTTCTTTTGTCGAAACTCATAATTTAGTCGAGCTCGTGAACGTGAGAGTGCATCGATTCTGTGACCATCTGGTCCTAGTATAAATACCAAGACTTGGTCATCCCGTACTTCCTATCTTTGTTCTCCAGCCGTATCTGTTCCTGAAAGTTGTTTGATAATCATTTCTCGAATCCTCTCGTATGACAGTTAAGATTTTTTATCAGTGGTTATCGTTGCGTTTGAATGTTTATTTACGTATTGGCTCCGCTTTCGTTTAACCATTCCAAGTTACAGCTGAAGGCTGTGAGCAACATGCTCAGGAGCGGACTACTCACTTTTGGAAATGTGGTAAGTAACCGATAGGAAAATTTTCTGTAGTCGTAGGCCTCTTTTTGAGTTTCGATTGGGAAACCCTTGGAACGTGATGATTTAAGTCGTGCTTCTGGTGTTCCTCGAACCAGTTTTCGGGCTGAATATGCTCTATTTTTTTCAACGTAAATAGTCATTTAGCAACTGTGCATAGGAACAAAGAAACTCGCCTTGCCTTTCCCCCAGTACCTAGCATTCACCGTGTGCGCACTCCTAATGTTCAGTCAACCTTCTTACCTGAAGGACACCTCGTGAAACACTCATTTGCGCGTTTTTATGGGTTATTCAACCGAATGTGCTGCACAGACTGCCTCATGTTTCAGTTGATAAGTTGTTCAACATATTGCAGTATGTTTTTTGAAGAAAGCCGTTCAAAAGTTTGAAAACTCATCGACAACCCACGAACGGTTTCGCTCTTCCTGGGACCCATGAAGTAGGTGAAGTCCCCGTCAACCTTATGTCCCGTCTCAACTGTCTGCTCCATTGTTTGGACCTGTTCAGTCTCGTCTTGATTACGAACGGGCCGCGTTTAGATAAGCTTATCTAGCTCGACACTTGCAACTAATCATTACCTTGTTTCTTGCTTTTCTAGACATGTAACATTCTGGGATTGTCCAGACACCGTTGAAGCATGGCATCCGCACCCAGCAACTGAAACAGTAATTTCCGGCCGGCAGCTCTCCTGTATATGGCGACCACTTATTAGCCCAAACACTAACACGAAATCGGAGGTCGATATCTCGCTGATGTGAATCCCCGCTGTTTTGTATAAAAAAAAGGCTTGACAAAAATATACATATTGTTGATATCCGAAGCACTTGCTTTTTATGCCAAGTTCTAATCATTCACACGTATAATAGCGTTTCACTTCCGTTTTAGACCATCCAAATTACCCTGTTTCATGCATGGCTCCCAAGTTCCGCAGCAATGTATGGGATCCTGTGCTAATCGTTAGCCAGATTATATGCATGCAATGTATTTTCTATGCAACCGCCGGCCTACTCATCACGTTTTGTGCGATTTGTTTCCTCAACACTGGTCCGCATTTGCGATGGTTGTTCGATGCGCAACAGATGACATTTTCTACTGCTACGGGTAAATGCATCTTTGCCTCGTTTCTCCTCACTCCACTGTTCTGCAGTCTTGGTTTGTGGCGACTGGTAAAACGGACAAAACAATGTTTAGATTTCGCCTGTACCATCGTATTTTGGCACTTTATCTTTTGCGTCATTCACGGTCGTGATTTCCCACGCTCTGTACTTTGGTGGGTGGCCACCGGCACTTCTCTAGTGATCACCACAATAATGGGAGAATTCTTGTGCATGCGAACAGAACTGAGGGATATTCCACTTGCAGCCGGCGGTACTTCCAGGAGTTGAAGGTTTAACTGGCTTCATATTTACGGTGTGTACACTCAACTGCGATTTTCCGATATATTCTCAGTTCCTTAGACAGCAAACGTGCGTTGCAATCATTGTGCTTTGCTTTCGCACGCCGCTCTTGATCATACTGGAACCCTTTTCCTCCTAATCTTCTTTATTTGTGTGAAATGATCGTTTATTGCAACACTTACTTTCATTAAAAATTGGCCGCGTGGCGCAATCGTTAGTTCCAGCGCATCTAGTGATTTATCCTTTTTGTTGCACAAGGCTAGAATTTCAGACGAAAGTGAACCCTAAAACCATGAGATTCATTCGTTCGCTAAAAGTAATCGCGACTCGTTAAGGCTGATAATGACTGGACCTAAATGCTGACCCTGAAAATTGAACAGTACATAAAAGAAAGTTGTCGCGTGGAAGTTGATAGCAGCCTGTAAAGACCAGGCTCTCTAGTTATCGCAACTTCGGACGATCACCTTTTCAAATAGTGTCTGTATCCGTTAGGCATACTGAAGCCTGTCCGCATCGCCTTCATTGTGTGGGTTACCGCTTACGGTAAGCTGGTCAGGGCTTACGTAGGCATTTTTGAGAAAAAGCCCTACAAAAGCATGTATGCAAATCAGCCCTTTGAGTCAAGCGTTCTGTATTTTCATGTGTTCCTCTGACCTTCAGAGATGTCATCACACGTTGGTTATAATAGCTAATGAGGTTATTCTCTAACATATGAAGGCTCAACGGCAGAGAATAGGATGAATCGAAACTTCGCTGGCATAGTGTGTAGCTTGAGTGATGAGCTGGTTAGTTTGATCGACCTAAGTAAGCAAAAATCGGAAGTCAAACGGAAACAAGCATAAACGTATTCTCCACAAGCCTACTAGGAATGACACCCATTGAATCCGTAATTTGAGGCGAGATGGTCCAAGTGGTTAGAGCGAGAATTTACTGACCGGAAGGTCCGCGGTTCGAATCCGACCTCCGCCACTCGACTTCACCTGTGTAGGCTTAAGCAACCTGGCAGTATCCCAGCCCTCGTGCTTCCTTCGGGTGGCATTGCAGCTAGGCACCGAAAAGGCGCTACAGCTGAACGCTTTCTTTATTGCCTTCAAACCCAGTGCGACAACTATGGTGCCACCAATCTGATGACCAGGACATCCAACGCGCTCTGGTAGTATTCTGTACAAGATGCTCGGATAACCAACATGGCTTCCCCCGAATTAGTGAAAGCCCACTTTTCACTGTAATATGTATTTGAGGGGCGACATAACTTACAACGACTAACAATTTCCGTCTTGCTAAGTATGAATCGGCCGACAACTGAAGGCATCCTAACTGTCAAATGATCAGACCATCAACCTCAAAGCACACTTACCCTTCCAGTCGTCACTGAACGAGCTCGTTATAACCATTGGAACGCGTGTTCAGAATTTCCATAAGATACCACTCCCATCTGATCGTGGGAAAGCATAGGGTTAATAACGTTCATGCTTTTGTCCCAGAAAATACGTATATGACCCTCGTGACTTTTAAATTAGTAGGGCACTGAGTACCTAGCTTGTAGAGTCAGCGCACGAGAATGCTTTCAACTGGCTTTTCTAACACACATGCCACATGAAAATGGTTGGTGAAAATGCTCGGAGATGAGAATTGTAGGGTCCAATATCACTGACTGTCATCTGCAGTCGGTCCGACTCAGAGGGAACTCACATAAAACTTGACAACCGTCTTCAATACATAGACTGAAAGTCCCTGTATTTGGTTTGAATACATAACTGACTTTTGTTGGCACACATCTAGGACTACGTAACTTGTGGTTTTAGTTTATGTTTGATAGCTATATTCCAGAGGGGCATGACAACCGTGAAAAAACGATTCCGCGCTGGAAAGTGCACGAACCACTTCCACCAAAAGTAGAACACTATCACTGCTATCAGAGAATTGGCAACTTCGACGACCGTTCTACCCTGGAAGCAAGTGCCCAAGGTAAAATGTTGCCCCCCTAAAGGCGCCGTAAGCTAACTACACCCAGTGGTGACAAAGGAGGCTATTTCTATCCTGGTTTGAGAATGGACCGCGGGGCTATGAAATGATCTCAATCAGTCGCCGAAACCTGAGACTGAAATGCTGGTAGAAATATTTAGTAACCTGAGTAGTCCCGCTGAAGGACCTGTCATGCGAAGTGCTTTCAGGTTAAGCTAGTTGACGCAGCCAACCACATAAACCACGGTCATGCTATTACCGGTGGTATGGCCAGAAATGAAGTTGAATGCTAGAGTGACTTGTGCCATGCCTCAATACCCATAGCGTAAACATGACAGCTTGTTTGTCACATGTATAACCTACAGCGCTATGGCTCCCAAAAGCCGGCCTTTGTGGAAAGAGGGCATAAAGAATGTTTCAGCTTTTCTTTACTTTAGAGCACACCTGCCTGTGTTAGGAAAGCCAGAGTTTCGAGGTCCTTCAAAGGATTTAACGAAAAAAACGCCGCGTGATAGACGAGTTTACAGAGGTTATTCGATAGTACATGGACACGGACCATGGGAAATCAGGTCAGACTTAACGCGAAATGGCTGCCAGCTTCGGGTCGAAAGGTCCATATTTCGGTTGTTGCTATCTGAGCATAGGCAATCTGACACTATCCATAAAGTTGAACCCTCATCCGGGTTGTTTGGACGCTATGCTAGGGAAGTGCTGAATGACTCCCTTCTAGGATCTAGCACATGACGTGAGGATGAAGCTCTTGCGACCGAGGTTTGACTGAATAGCTATCACTGGAATTCAGTTATCTGCAGACTTGGCTTAGATAGATACACAGTCAACGACTGCAACATCTGAAGTTTTTACTAAAAAAGACCGAATCGTTTGGGGTTATTCCTCCTACAACGAATATACATGTCGTTCCATCTTGAAGAAGATTGGTGATAGACTTGGATTCGTAGGTTTCTGTACAGTAGTCGGATAGCATAAGCATTGCTGAGTACTTCGCAGTGTCAAATACCCAAAACAAACAGCTAATACCAGCATACGAATCATAAATTCTCTTCACACCCTAGTATTTCCACAGCAGCTTGATTAACATTTAAACGAAAATTGAGTGCCAGTAAAACCCCAAAGACCTAAGTAAATCACTGCTGCAAGAAAAACACTTTTCACAAAGGCAACTCGCTTTATACACCTCTGGCATCATACGGAACAGCAAGAGGATTAAATTATTGTCCCCCGTCTGTCATTAACGCGTCTTCTGGCTCATCTGGAACTACTTCTGGGATGAAGTAATATTGTCCGTCGTCCAGCTTCTGACATGTTACTCGTACGGCAGGGGCCAAGGACGTTATCATTTGGCGGCTATCTGAATCGGACACTTCTAAAACGCCCTCTTCCTCAGACCAGAACGCAATGATGGCGACACGGAACTCGGATAGCTGAAGTTCAAATAGTTTCTTTGGGGGGAGAGAAGGTAGAGATAAAGATAAAAACGAACCGGTTGGAAAAGGACAGCAGGCCGACCTGTGCCTTCGGCCAACTGGACGACATGGCGTGGCAGAATAAAGTGACACTCAGCAAATGAGTGCGATGATGTGGTGAAGAACAATTACCTGTATGAATCACTGGCCGTGAAGTGAATGCAAAGGTGGAGTATCGACCGTTCTATGCGAGTTTACAGAAGGAAAGTATGAGAAAAACAAAGCCGTTGACTGCTACCCTCACTCCCAACCTGGTTCCCAGGATTGTTTTTTGCTCTGTACTCCGTATCGGGTAGCACTTGCTTCTAAAGAGAGCCCTATAGATGCATCTGCGCAGAGCCGATCGTACAATTCAACTACCTGTTTACGATTGTCCCCTAGTGTCACCCAACCTTCGTTGGTAGTGGCACTTAGCATAATCAAATTCACCAGTAAACCAAACTGTTGTTGCTATCGTCACCTTGAAGACGCCTTCTAATTGACATTGTACCGCGTTGCCCAGTTGTTTGGAATGAAACTCTGATCGAGAAAAAAATTCTCCAATTTGACAAACATTGCCTAAATAAATGTCTGGAAGTTGGACACCTCGTATTGGTTGCAGTGAGCCAGTACTCAGTCCCTTCTTAATCATTTCTTCATAACAAGACTTATGGTTGTATAAGTGTTAAACGTTGATGTGCTGTCGAAACTAACTGAAGACAAGAAGTTCGGAAAGCACAGAAGTGAATAAGCGCCCAGTAGATTTGAGAAATGACGATTTTTGTGGTAGTATGAGATTTCCAAACTGCAGTCAAAATTCAATTCCGCAGGTCAAGTCAACCAATATAGAAAAACCGGATGCACTGCATAGTCGTTTCATCCTTGCTCGGAATCATCTTATGATGCTCTCTGAAGATCCAAACCAGCAACCTACCACTTGATCACGAGCAACTGATCAGCAGTAGGACTAACTCGCGCTTAATCAGGATACAGTGCCACTCACCATTCACGCGATTCACACATGGTCAGTTGCCAACTGGTTCCTCGAGTGATGAATTCCGAGAGATGAGGGATTCTCGAAACTGATATATCTACTGCAGTTCGGTGTTCAGTTTTTCAGCTCGGAATGCAGTGGTCCGAACTGCTACATCTTCGTTCACCGAAGATAACGGAGTGAGAGCTACGCATTGGAGTTGGCGCAGTCAGTTTATTGACGTCGAACGGTTCTGTCTATCCAGTGTGGCACGGGTTGAGGGCTATACAGTGAAGGCAATAGCTCTGATGTAAGACCGCCATTAGTTGCGTGACAGCAATATTTGTTAGGGTCACCAACCACTGGTTTGTCTAGTCCCGCGGTAGCTACGGTGACTGAGTTGACTGGTAAGGGTTTTGATGTTCCATTGCCAGGTTATGAACTGAACGCTTTCTGTTGCCTCCATCCGACATAGCTGGTAGAACGGGGCTCTAAAAGGCAAACGGTCTTCTGGCATATGAAGAACATGATCTGACCAACGCAACCCGTGGAGTGTGACCAGCTGACTTACCGAGAGAGAATGAAGGCGAAAATACATCTAGCGTTACTCATCTGGTGTTTCCATCAGACTCGAACGATGGTTCGGAGGCACCAAAAGTCAAACACTAGACCTTCGAAGGTCTATCACGCAACGGCTACGTCTTCGGTTCATGAATTAGGACAGATGGGACCGCGGAATTGTATACTCTACCCTTGAGAGTCAAGTTGATGTCACACCTAAGTGTCATAAACGCCTAAGGTTGACAACCGCCGTCCTAGCCTTCCCAATTAGGGAGATGACTACGTCTTTCGCCAAAACACCGAGACTTATGCAGCTGTCCAGGTGAACCAACTTGCAAACAACCAAAGCGATCGGATCACCTGAAAGCATGACGTTTGGGTGCGACCCCACCGAATCTCGCAGTAACACTACACGTTGCAGGATCGAAGAGCACTGAACCGTGCAGCAGAATTATTAGGGTTTGTTTAAATAGTTCACATTTCTAAAGGGTGTGATCCTAGGACACCGATATCGTCAGCGTACCCGATGTTCGTGAGCAAACATCACGGGGCATTTCGATACCTGAGGAGTTGGAAGTCGCGGGTTCACATCTCCTTAGAGGTGCGTGCTGTTGATGATTCTAAGTAAGGCTGAAACAGCTCCACAGTGCCTCCCGGATTTTCAGCACAGATTGAGTTCATTTGCAATATGAAATCTCCATCGAAAAATAATGGTGATACAGAATACCTAGACCTGAGAATGGGGCTGGAAGTAAACAGGCGGGATGAATGGGTGACTCTGGTCAAAAAGTGGAAAAATTGTGTCCAGAAGGACACTTGATGTGGTGGTAACAATAGAGTGGAAAATCAACTTTCGAAAAGAATAAAAGAGCAGTCGATAGTGGAAAGGCACAGCTTTCGTTGAACTTGGTCAAGTAATCAAAAGAAGGATTCTACCCTAAAATAGGGAAAACTTTTCATCACTCAGACTCAGGAGAATAGGATGGTTAATTTTTGTACTAGTGCCTGGCATACGGTAGCGAAGTATCAGGGTTGAAAGCTGAATCGAGAAAGCTCACAATTTTGATGTCCAGTATGTTCACAGTTAGCACGGTGGAATATGAAGACGGTGGGATCGTCTGCTAAGGCATGGAAAAACAAGAAATCCAAGTCTGATGCGAAACTACGCCCAAACGAGCTTGAGGTGAACGAATATATAAGACATTCAGTCTAGTTAACGGAAGAGTTAGTAAGCAAGATCTCCAGGTCTTATTCAATCGGAACTCGCCAACGTGCGCCAATTCAACTTAATAAATACCCAGTCGTACAGTTGTAGTACTTTTTCGGCGCCCAGATGCCATGCGATTCTCCGAACAGGAGAAACATACCAAGAGCTATGGCACCTTGAGTACCTTGATGATAACGTTTGCAGAGCACTAGCAGCTGTTTGTCCGCAAATTCGAGAAAACAGTGGTGATTGAAATGTGACAGTAACCGGTCGAGTCAGAACGGAATCTACACTTAGAATGAGCTACATGTGAATTTTTCCAGATCAATCTGTGCAGCGCAGTTAGACGAGAAGAGACAAAAAAGGCTTGTTACGACTAGAATGGTTCATAAAGCGCGATTTCGGAAGAAACAGAGGGACACGTACCAGACCGGCACACTTCAATGTGTCAAGAAAGAGGGTAGGGTGAGTAACATATTTTGGGTTAATAACGGGCGAAATGGGTGTCCAAGGAGGATATGATATAAGTAGGGACCCACCGTCATCCCAGTTTTCAAAAAGGGCGCAAGAACATCATACGTCGTAGTATCAGCTTGGTATCCGCCGCATCTTAGGTTCCCTCTGACATTACTTTGCGCAGGTTGATCGATTATCGTGAGAGACAGATTCGTGAGAATCGGGGTAGGTTTCGCCCTGGACGATGATACATCGACCATATCCTCACCCCGAGACAAGCTCTTCAACAATGACACTCTTCCAAACGTCCCATGTGGGCCTTTTTTTATCTGGAAGCTGCTTTTGACTCTGCCCATCCTCAAAAACGTTCGCGTGCCTGGCGATCAACGGTGCCCCTTACTGGTTTATACTCCTTATGAGGGAACTGTATGCTAACTCCTGTGGACGGATAAGAGTATACGGCAAGCTTCCTTCTGAGGTCACCAGATTCAGTGGTGTAAGACAAGGCTGCAATCTCTCGCCTTTCCTGTTCAACTTTGTTACTGAGGTACTGCTTAAAAATTTTCTGCCTGACTCTGACACCTCGAGGGTCGAAATGCTCTCGGGACGTTGCTTTTTTTGGTTCAGATCCTCCAAAAATGCAACCCATTTTAAATGACCTAAGTAGTTCGGCCGCACGCCTTGACATGTGATTCACGCCTACAAAAACTAAAGTGCTACTACAGGACTGGCTGGGAGCAAACCCGGACCTCCCGCTTGCAGACGAGCCAATGATAGATAAATTTGTTTACCTGGGCGGTTGTATTAGTTCCGATGAATTGGGTGGAGATGAGATTACTTCTCGGATCGAGAAGGCAGGGCAGCTTTTGTCGACGAACAAACGTGTCAAAAGCAGCTTTCAAGTCGAGAAAGACAACCAATATTAGATCCTGGATTCAGGGTCGCTGACCCAGGATCTGTTGGATGAAAATGAGATCGACGCAACCTCATGCAGGGAGGAACACAGCACGGATCTGCCTCCCCTTATCTTCAGTCAGCTTCGAAGGATGAGGCCAAACAGCATCTTCGATGCCAGTCACCATGATAGTTTTCAGTGTTCACGCATCCTTTCTAAAGACCGAGATGATTGCTGATGTGCCAGATCAATCAATCATCATCATCACTCGTCCACCAAATGCTTTTTCAGAAAACCAACGAGCTATTCTCTATCCTTAAACAAAACAGTGGAAAAATACCAGGATCGCGTGCTCTGTTTCACTTCAAAATTTTGATTTCGCTATTGAATTCATCTACTGTTGGGGCCGAGCAGTTCAAATCCCATTATGCTGGGCACTTCAGGTGAGTCAAATTGTTATTTCACCCACCAAAGTAAGCGGAGGGATATATTTTGAACCGCGATTTTCTGTAATGAACTCGAGTTGGCTCAGTCGTTAAGGCGCGAGTTCACGAATAACAAGGTCCGTGATTCCAACAAAACCTGTGGGTCTAGATCGTTCCTGTCTATGTTTGGGTAACCTGGCAGTATCTTAGCCTCCATGGTTCATTCCGGTAGCATGAAAACGGTACACTGAAAGGGAGATTATTGGGATTTATTATTAATGGCTTCACTGATTGGTGGATTTCTTGGTCCGGTATTGCGAGTAACTTTTCAGATCGCTTGCGCCATCCCCATTTCTTGGGCTTTCCTTACGGTCAGTCTTGAGAGTGCAAGCCAGAGCGGAGATCATACTGAATCGCATTCTCGTCCTGGTGGACCTCATCGCCTCAAATGGGGATATGGATCGCTGTGAGATCCAACTTGAATTGGGCCGTGGCCTCGTTCTGGGACACACAGTCAAACCGATTTCAATGTTTCGAGTTTCGAACCGGTCTTCATTTGCACGACTGGTTGGTTTCCAGATAGCTGTTGCTGACGACCGAATCCTGCAGTCACTGAATGAACTTGGCTTTTGGAAAACGAGGGGCAACACGTGCAGGGTATGATCTGAGTCCACATCATCTGTCTGCAGTGGCGAAGTCACGCTACCATACAACGTGACCCTTAATGTAGCCTGATAAATGCGACCCTTGAGATCCAGTGGTATGCCGTTTCGATACCAAAACCAAACTAGCCAACGTGATTCGGGTCTTTGGTATTCGTGCACTGACTCCGTCAGGCACACTTCCGTCAGAGCTGATACAAATACCGAGGCATGTGGAATTCCCCACAAACTCCAGTGATTCTCCCTGAATTATTAGGAGTGCGTTCAGAGACTGCACTTTCCGAAACACGACCTTGGGCTTTGAAGATGCAAGACGCGTGTAGAACTGTGGTACGGTGGTGGTCAGCTTTTCCAAAAGGGCTTGTGCTTCGCCTTCGTCTTCAAGGATGAAGATGTCGTCTGCCTACTCCAGATTAACTCACCAGCAACTATTTGAATCCCGGGTGGTTTGCGGACCTTCCAGCGGTCGCCTCATTTTTTCATAAATGAAGAAGTTGAACAAGAACAGAGTAGACATCGGGTGTTCCTGTTATTATAAAAAATAATCGTTCTGCCGTAATACTCTTTCAGTGCCCGGCTGCCATGCTACCTGAAGGGAACACGAAGACTGGGATGCTGCCAGGTTGCCCATGCCTAGACAAGAGAAGTCGAGATGCTGAAGTCGGATTCGAACCACGTACCACATGGTCCGCTCTAACCATTACGCCATCTTGCTCCACAAGAGCGATATGGTGTCCATTGTTAGGGGATTCGCAGAAAAACAAAGCTTACCAAAACACGACACTGCTCCGGAGTCAATTCCTGGTCCCGTCTGCACACGATATAGTCTTCTTCTAGAGTAACGATACCCCGCACCAGTTTGACAGGTAGTCCAAGCTCCCGTAAATAGGGCTCCAATGTATGGGCGAATTTATGGCACGGCCCAGCAGCTAATGTTACCTTAAAACATGGAAATACGCGAGTAGTTCACATGGCGGATGGAAATAGAAAACACATTACAGAACACCATTACTTATTAGCACAGGTATAAGTTCCTTGTAACGGAAAGTTAGCTATGGACATAATGTGTCTGCAAAAGCCTTATAGTTCAGACAAAACCAAACCCCTCACAAAACGAGCGAACAATCAGACATCACTGATAGAAATATTGCTCAGAAGATCGCTATCAAAAATTGGAAAAATTGCTAATATGCTCATATAAGATGTAAAATCAACGTGTGGTTATAGCTTGTGTCGTAGTGTGCTTAAGGCAATACCTACAGAAACTTAAGCTCATCTTTCTTAACATAAACCATAAAATCTAACGGCACCCTCAGCCGCTGGAGTCATTAAAGTGACTGTTTATTTCATCATCAGCCTTCTCAATACCGGAGAGGCGATTAAGAAAGGCTCTTGTCTCCATGACGGCGATTATGAATAATTCCATCCAAAAGCGACCGGCGGACGCCGTAAATCTGTAGAGCGAATTATGAGCATCATCCTGGCAATCAAAATCACCATTACAGTAGATAATATTTAGGGACAGCCAAATACGATGCGATGCCGGGACCCCGAAAGGTCGAATAGAAAATATGTATAGAAACTGGCCATAGACCCGTTGATAGCCATATCTTTCAAAGTCACCAGCCGAGCGTAGGTAGCGTTACATCAACGGCGGTTAAATACTCCCCATGTTGCAGTTTGCCTACCATTATGTTTGCGTCACTCTAATGTACAGATGAAAAACGGTACAATGGTTTCACACACGTGGCACACTACTGTAATTTACATCGGTTGGCGCACTTGTTCCGCAACCGGAGGAACGTTTTTTTTATTGCGAACTCAGTGACGTAAACGTATGACCCTAATACATGCGTTGTCGAAAACTGGGAGAAATCTCCGATGCTCTGTACACGAGTCTCACCGATACATGATAAAATAGCCTGCAGGGTGGTCTTATAGAAAGTAAGAGGTGCATTGATCACTTCTTTACGTCAAACGTTTGTGCGGTTCCACATGTACAGCCTGGCCCCAATCTATGTTCTTGACTTAAAATGCGCGAATCCTAAATATGCTTGGGCGAAGAAAAGTGCCCCTGAAAATAAATTTTAAAAATCATTCAGCTGTAGCATCCTTTCGGTGCTACCATAATACCCGAAGGAAGCACGAGGGCTGGGATGTTTCCAGGTTGCCCAAGCCTAAACAGGAGAAGTCGAGATGAAGAGGTTGGGTTCGAATCACGGACCTTCCGGTATGTAATTGCGCGCTCTAACCACCGAGCTATCTCGCCCCTGAAGTTTATTAGTATCCTTCCTGTCCCTTAGTCTGGCTCCTCTGGTCGCGTTACAGTTTACAATAAATTGTACAGACGTGTGCCACAGATAATGAAGCTGTTCTGTGATTTTTTCGTTCGATTTCGTTGTTGATACAATCAAAGAACACAGTGTACAAGAGACCGGACATCTAGGAATCAAAATGGTACCTTGAGAAATATTGGTGAACACGGATCATGCAGGCGACTCCGTTTCGTCATTCAATAATATTCATTCCGCAAAATCTACCTTAAATGTAATACCGGAAAAGTTCCCAATTGTCTTGGGTTTCCATTTCACTTACATCCCTTCCAAAATTGGATTACTTGCCTGTCCAACCCGAAGACCTCCAAATCACTGGTCACAGGTGTTTAATAGCATGGCAGGAGCGTAGGCGATGTAACGAATAAGACTCACTAGAACAGCAAATAAAATAAGCTAAGTAGTGAGGACATGTAGAGCGCATGACCACCCACTATCTACCATTCCCCTGAGAAACCACGCTGGTGAAAGACTCCAAAAGGACGGACACAGATGTGCAAAATGAGAGTGGCTAGTCACACCGGGTGCTAATAGGTCTTCGTTGGGGGTCACGTAACTCCCCTCGCATGCGACTGGGAATCCTACACAATATGGCAAGCAACCGATCCTAATGCTGTTTAGGCTGTTACTTTCTAGCACAACTGTATAATCTGCGTACACCAAGTCAAAGGTGCAAACTTCGGTTAAAGAAATCGCTGGCGGTATCATTACGTTTCGCTATAAAGCCTCGGCTGGCATAACGTTTGATGCTTGGTTTCGTCGCTGTGGAGACCTGTTCAGGGTCGAGTTTTCAACTCAAGATGATAGTTGGAAGGTTCGCAAACTTGGACCCGCAGGGCACGATAAGTACGCTAACTATATTCTTCCGAAGAACCCACGTGGCTTCACTTTTGACGGAACGCTTCACACGCTCTCACAAATATTCGGTGAGCAAACGCCAATTTCCAACATCCATTATCGACGCCTGAAGCTCGTGAAAAGTAACTCAGACGACTTTCTCACTTATTCCAGGATCGTGAACCGGGAATGCGAACGGTTCAAACTCGTATCGTTAATGGAAGATCAGTTCAAGTCGCTGATTTTAATATCCGGTCTATAATCCCCGAAGGATGCAGAAATCCGTACCCGACGCCTCAGCCGCATCGAGCAGGACCCATCAATGACGGTGCAGGCCATCACCTCAAAATTCAACGATTGCTTAACCTGAAGCAAGACACCGCGATGGTCCAACTTGGGAGTCATGGCGGTCCCGAAGTTCATACAATCAGGCTACGCAACAGCCTGGCTCTGACGATTCCGGCTCGACCAAATCGGCCTCACAGTACTCTGGTCCAGAGCAAAACATAAGCCCAAAGAAGACACCACCTTTACAATGTTGGCACTATTAAGGCTGGCACCTCGTCAAGTTCTGTCTCTACAAACAGCATCGGTGCCGCCTATGTAAGTCCGTGGGATACAAAAATGGGCATTGTCAATCACGGATGCATACGGCCTCTGATAGTTCATAGCCGTCATCACGCGTCTGTCCCAAACCGAAATCGAACTCTGTTGGCCCCTCTCTCAATTTGCTGCCAATTTCCAGATCAACAACCCAGGTCACCGAAAGTATCTTACAGTCGCCGTCAATGGTCATCCAGTCCGTCTGCAGTTGGACACTGCGTCGGACATTACCATCATTTCGGAGAAGCTTTGGCGCAAGCCCCGGCAACCTCCGATCGGAGAAGCCGCTCGAACTGCTACCAGTGCCTGCGATGGAGAGCTAAAACTTTCCGGTGAGCTCCAATACAGTGTATATTCGTGTTATGTACCGGCAGCTGAGCTGACCTTATTGGATCTTGATTGGTTCGGTCGACTGGGGTTAGTCGACATTCCAATAAGCGTCATTTGCAATACAATTCAGTCTCCTACGGCGTATCCAACCAGGTCTACCTCAGTGCACTGTGACACTAGCAGTCCTCCACCTCCTGCGGGTGCTACGCCAGTCTTCCATCCAAAAAAAGTCCCGTACGCCTCCCTTTCACTGGTAGATGCCGAACTTCAACGGCTGGAACAACAAGGCGTTATGTCCCCATATATCCCACTCCCCCTGGGGAGCGCCGATCGTCGTGGTGAAGGTACCAAATGGTGACGTCCGCATATGTGCCGATTTCTCAACCGGCCTAAATACCGCTCTTCAGTAGCACAACTGTGCACTACCAGTGTCCGACAACCTATTCACTGTTCTGAACGGTGGGAATTTCTTCGCGAAAATCGACCTTGTTGAAATGTATCTTCAAATTGAAGTCGCACCAGAATCACGCCCAATGCTGGCAACCAACACATACCGCGGGCTGTATCAATACAGTCGTCTCCCGTTTGGCGTCAAAACCGCCCCAGCAATTTTCCAGAAGTTTATGGACGCCATCCAATCTGGCATTCCATCGTTCGCACACCTGAACGACGTGCTAATTGTTGCTGTTTCACCCGAATAGATTCTTGATGGGACCAATGCCGTCTTGCCGCGCATTCAGGACAATGGCCTCCACCTCCGTCCTGAGAAGTGTCAATTCTTCTTGACAACAGCGAAGTATCCTGGTTTCATCTTCCGCGCCTCCGGTCATCATCCTGACCCGGAGAACGTTAGAGCTATACAGCAGATGTCAACTACTAAGGATGTCCCATCACTACGTTCCTTTTTGGAACGGAATTCTTGCGTTCGCCACACAACATTCCACCCCCACTAAATCAGCTGCTTGGAAGGAACGTCCCCTGGTGCTGGCCAGAAGAACGCGAAGAATCGGGCTAATGGCTGAAGGCCATGCTCAGTTTCGATCTGCTAATGACCCAATACGACCCAAAACTGCCGATCGGCGTGGCAGCTGGTGCCTCTACTTTTGGAGTTAATACCGTCATTCTGAACTTCTTCCCAGACGGATCGGAGAAGACCATCATGCATGTGTCGATATTACTAACGCCAGCAGAACAAAAGTATCGACAGATGGAAAAATGAGCGTTCGTCTTAGCGCTCGCCGTCCGGTCGCCGTTTCATCTAACTTATTGACCATAAACCATTACTATCCATTTTCGGTTCAAAGAAAGGTATTCCCAGACACTGCCAACCGCCTGCAAAGATAGGAGCTTATTACTCTGGGCTACGACTCTGATATTCAATATCGTCGCAAAACCGACTTCGTTCAGGCCGATGCATTATCTCGCCCTCCGTCAGTTCCATTCTGGGCATCCAGGAATAAGCCACATTAAGTCAATAGCTCGCAGTTACACTTAGCGGCCGCGCATGGACCAGCACATCAAGGATTTCGTAAAACGCTGCCTCTGATATCAACAAGTTGCCAAGAACCCGCCACATCAAACACCGGTTCCCTGGCCTCGACCTGAAAAGCCTTGGTCTCGGATCCACATTGACTACGCAGGACCGATACATGGCACTTCCTATTTAGTTTTGGTTGACGCTTTTTCCACGTGACCAGAAATCATTCCGGTGTCCTCTCCAAAAACATCTAGTAGCTGCGTGTGTTATCCAACACTTTCAGCCAGCAAGGCTTACCGGAGTCCATCGTGTCAGACAATGGTTCGGAGTTCACCTCCGCTGAGTTCCGCGTTTTTGGCACTCGATATGCTATAACACAGGTTCGTTCACCCGTAATTGAATGGTTAAGCAGAACGCTTCGTCAACACCTTCAAGAGGGTCTTGCTTGAAGCTGGAGAGGAGGAGACATCCATCGAAGCCCTTCAGAGACTCCTGTTTGTGTACCGAACGACCCCGAGTGGTATTTTGACGAACCACCAGTCCCCTTCAGAGTCACTCATGGGCCGTAAACTGAGAATGGTGCATTTTTCCATATTACCAATACAGTCTACTGAGTCAAGGCACATACCGGTGGCAGCTGGAGCCCCATTCAAGGTAGGAGCACCCGTACTTGTCTTTGACTATTGCCAGGGACACGATGGGTGGATTACAAGTCGCATCCTGCGCATAAGCGGTAGTGTGATGTGCGACGTGTCGGTTGGTCAAGAAACCTTGACCAGACATCAAAACCAACTCTGCTTTAACAGCACGCCGGGAACTCCAGTATGTTCGGGCACCGTACCGTTGGACATATTGCTCGACACTCTTGAGCTGAAAGCTGATGAAGTTTCGAAAGAGAGTGTGACCGGCGACTCAGGCTTGATCCAGCACTTTTCCCAGGCGGTGTACATACCGACGCCGGCCGGGGCGTATCCAGGTCGACCCACGTCCAACCTGTTACTAATGTTTCACAAGGGAAGGTGTTGGGATATTATTATCCCCAAAACTCTGTATCTATGTGTGTGATAACGAACTTCCGGCAGTTCTCAAGGTCATTATCATCGTCGACAGCATGAAAGAATTATTCAACACCGATACTTTGCTGCTGTATAACCATGATTCGTTTGAAAGCCTTATCGTGAACAAAAGAACAGAGGTGGGCAGAGAGGGGACTAAGCGCTAGCTCATTACTATCGCTCCGAGGTGCCTACACCTCCAAGAATTCACTCAGGCAATCTGAATAGAAACGGACAACAAGAACGCCACTGACAACGGTTGAAGTGTCTCCAACCTGGCGCAGTAAGGATCACGCGGTCCCCATCCTGGAAGGCGAGTCGCACCGACGGCACCGTAATCTCCTTCACAACCCCCTGTCAAGTCAAGGGTTGGCCACCACTCTGAGTTGGGCATGGAAAACAGCAATGTTTTCGGCAAACGGCGGTTAGACACACATGTCCCAACCAACACAGCTTCTGGTGCTGGACACATTATTCAATAGAAGTATGCGTTGCGCAACCGAAAATTCACTACCTAACTGCCTCGTTACGGATTCTCCGACATCAACCCACACAAGCTATGGTTCTGAGACAACGATTGTCGAACACCTGAAGGCGTCTCAGCTCCGCTGCTCCAACAGACCAAGTCTCACATCCACACAACAAAACAGCCCGTACTGTAGCCTGATACACACGTCCCTTGAGATTCAGAAGTTTACCGCTTTAAAGTCGCGTCTCAAATTAGCAAACGCGACCCGATCCTTACAGATTCGTGCATTCACCTCATCTGCCACACTACAATAACAACCAATACAACTTCCAAGATGTGTAAAACGCTCCACAACTTCAAGTAACTCTCCCTGAATTCTAAGTGACGCGTTCAGCGACTGCACGTCCCACTTATGCATGACCTTACACTTTGTGGATGCAAAGTACATGCCAAAGGATGGGATGACTTTGTTCAATTCATCCGAAAACACCTGCGCCTTCTCCTCTCCGAAGACGAGAACGATGTCGTCTGCATATTCCAGATCGACAAGATTTTCTTCACAGGCTATTTGAACACCAGGGTTTTGGAGACTCTCCAGCGTTCGTCTCATTATTTCATCGACCACGAAATTAAAAAGGAATAAAGAGAGTGGGCATCCCTGATGGACACCACTTTATGTACGGAAGCTTTTGGAGAGCTCTCCGTATACTCTCACACGTCGGGGAATGCAAAGAACTTATTATGTTCACGAACTTCCGGGGCATTCCTTGGTGGGCAAGCATGTCAAGAAGAACAGAACGGTCAATCGAGTCGAATGCGCATTGGAAATTCAGGAATACTAGAATTGCCGGTAGCTTATACGTATGGCGTTGTTCTAGCACCTGACGCAGTGTGAAGATTTGGTCAACGCAACCCCTACCAGGCCGGAATCCCGTTTGATGCTCTCGAATCAGTATCTCACAAGCCAACGTAAGGCACAATTGACACCGACGGTCTCGTTACGTACGCGGTCAACCTGATCCCCCTCGTGGTTACCACTCTCACTACGTGCCCCTTTTTTGAAAATGGGCACCATCACCGACTCTCCCCAGTTGTCTGGGACAGATTCCTTTTCCCAAATGCAAGCAAACAGATCGGACAAGCGCTGACTGAGGACTTCACCGCCGTCTTTGCACAATGCGAGTGGGAGGTCATCCGGACCTCCGTGGCGCTTGAGAGAACATATGCAGTCGTAAACCTCCGACGCCGTAGGTGGTTCCACGTTCACCGTCCAGGGTTCTAGTTCACCTGTGGGCTCTGGATGAGCGCCAGCTGGGGGCCAAGATCGTTGTTGTTCGAAGTATTCAGCCCAACGGCCGAGGTGTTATTCTTTATTCGAGATGGTTGTTCCATTCTGATACTCGATGGTTTCGCTCACAGGTGGTTTCCGCGGACCGGTCGCATGGATCAACTGGAATACTCTTCGAGCATTACCGGCTTTCTGGGCCTCTTCCATTTCTTTGGCTTTCTATGGCCACCATACTACACGGTCGACTCGCACCCTCACTCTCTGATAACTCTTCGCACCGGGTTATGTTCGGGACCTGCTAGGATATTTCTGCGAAATTTGGAAAGTGCCACCGTTCGGTTTGAAATCCAGTGCTTGCGTGCGCTGGGTTGGGCCGTGCCAGAGGCAAAAAAACCCAGCACTATGCAAAGAGGTGGTAATCTCGTCACGAATCCCCATCTGATGGTGAAGAGAATCTAGAAGACGATTCTGATAAACTCGTCTAACATCCGGATCTGCCAGTCCTTCAGTTGCCAAGCAATTTGTTCGCATCTTACGCGGCCCCGGAAAATGCAAGGGAGAAACGACTCCAGAAGAGCGCGTGATCAGAATCCACAAATGTGTTCCAAAACGACCGGCAGTCAGTTATTGATCCGCTCTATCTGTAGCGAATGGCAACGTGATCGATTTGAGTTTGTGGCCGGTACGCCGTTGGAGGAAACCATGTGGCCAGACGACTTCGGCTATTTCGGGGGTTAGTACTGCATAAAAACAGCCTGCGATCAGCACGCATCTGAAGCAAGGGTTCACCATTTCCCATACGTACCGAGCACAATCCATGTCGACCACCTAACTGAGTCTAAGATACGCTAAGCCTGCCCACTTGTGCATTCATATCTCCTATAACCACCATGATATCTGAGCTTTTAGCTCGCCACAGCAGAGCGTCGTTAAAACCTGCACGCGAGACTCTTTCACAGACTTTGCCAGACGAACCGCACAGAGGCGACAATCAACAGGTATCCAGTCAAGCGACTCGGGGCGTAACCAACCCCTGCACATCCCGTTGCAGCAGCCTCTGAATCACCAGAGGTGCGTAGCTGGAAGCGAGTAGAGACTGACGGAGCGGTTAGCTCATCCATTATGCTGGCATCTTGAATTCTTGTTTCTGAGACACACCACACATCAATCCCAAGCGAGTCCATTGTGAGTGCAAGAGCAGATTGTTGTCCTGATTGCTTCGAAGTGCAGCATTGAACGCAGTCAGATGGACTGTGTGCCGAGGCTTGAAGATTGATTTCGAGATACCTGAGGATGTCGGTGCCATGTGACTGCACGTTGCGCTCAAAACCGATGAACGACGAACGGAGTCATCAGTCCCGAGCGCTGGACCCAGAAGGAGAGAGTTATTAATGGGGTGGGTAGAGAGGAAAGAAAAAGTATGTGAAAGAGAAAAATGGGGGCGGAAGCAGTAGTATGTTTTCGCTTATCCAATCTACTGTAGGCAGCAAGTAAGGCGACCCGACTGATGGCACCACGCAACGGCCGATGGGACATAAGAGTACTGTTAGCTGTGAACGTCATGTTTGTAGGAGAGCTGGGATATTGCCGGGGCGCTCACACCTGGATAGGAGGACAATTAGGGTCCTAGACCAAAACCATTGGCTCAAAAGCCAAACCGCAAGGCAGTGATGTTGGGATGGAAATGCAAGTACATTACCATTTTTACGGAACACGTCGCCATACATGTTCCAACCCCCAACCTGGAGGTCCAGGAGACTGTGTTCGTTAGACCTTTACCCAGTAACCAACCTGGTATGAGACTGTGTCGTACGGACACCCCGCAGTATAACTCAGTGGGGCGTCGAGGGACACAAACCGCCACACCACGGTAAGGTACAGTCTCTTCGCGTTTGATTGATGCTGGCTGATGCCAGGAAATTCATACCAGCAGGCAACGGGCACGATGGCACACAGAAATCCCTCAGAAAAGCCAAGCAGCAAACGGCTTAAGCAGAGTCCACGCGCTTTGGTGAACGAAAAGGCTACGGAAACAGCCGTGCTTCATACCAGTTGATACAGCCGAACGGCTATAGGAAATTAACGGTTAGTTAGACAATACGTGGAAAAGACAGCTCATTAATTCACTCGAAAAAACGTCGATTGGAAATATGGGCCAAACACTTCGAATAATAGTTTGGCTGGCCTCTTACAACACAGACTCCAGAGTCAGTTCATACGGGCGAAAGGAATGTGAACCAAAGTCGCCCGTCAGGAGGAACAAAGTACGAAATGTTCGTAATGAAACGTGATAAGGCGCCAGGACCAGGCGGTCTATATCCAGCCCTCTTCTAAGAAGAAGGATATTCCCTGGTGACTCACCTGACAAAGCTCACTGATGCGGTATGCACTAAGGAGGGAATGCCTCCAGAATGTAGCAAATCGATGGTTATTCCTTCATTTAAAGAGTTCAGCTGTAGCACCCTTTCAGGGCCTAACTGCCATGCAACCCGAAGGTTGCACGAGGGCTGCCAGACTGCCCAAGCCTAGACAGGGGAAGTTAAGAGGCAGAGGTCGGGTTCGAACCACGGACCGTTCGGTTAGAAAAATTCGCGCTCTAACCGCTTAGGCCATCAAAAAGCGTACGGGGACGCTGCGTGAAAAGCATCGTGGCGTCACCCTGGTAGCTGCGGCATCGAAGGTGCTCTCTGTTCTTATCCCTCGGAGGTTGACTGACCAGAGTAAGTGATCAGTCAGCTTGGTTTTCGTGAAAAAACCAAGCTGGCTTTCGTCCTACAAGAGGACGCATCGATCACATTTTCACCATTCGACAGATTGTAGAACAACGGTACCTTGTCAACCTGGGTTATTAGAACGATATTGTTCTCATTCTTGAGAATGTGAGGGAAGGATCACCAGGAAACCTGACTAAGGTCATCCAGTCCTTAAGTATGTGCTTTGCACCCACAAAGTGCAAAACCATGATGCTATGGGACACACGGTTCTGAGCATGCCTCTGATGCTTCAAGACGTCCGTGGTTCGAACCCGACGTCTGCCTGTCGACCTCCTCGACCTAGGCTTGGGCAACCTGGCAGTACCCCAGCCCTCATGCTTCCTTCAGGTGGCACGGCAGCTATGCACCGAAAGGGGGAGCGATTTTGACTTGAAGAAGTAACATCGGGAGTTGTGGGACATTATACGTATCTCGGAAGTTGTTAACAGTATTGCGACGGATAAAGGCAAAGTACGGATCTCAAGAGCTAGAATTGTATTTGCTAGTTTGTACCACTTGCGGCATGAAGACATCACTGGGTTTCGAAAAAGTGTAGTGGACCACAATGCGGGTTGCAGTTCTGTATTCGCGGGAAGGACCTTAGACTCCAGGTCTACCAGCATCGGTGTATCAGAAACATAGCTGGAATTGGGTGGAACTAGCGAATTGGGAATGAAGTGATCAGGCATCCGGTCTTTGGTGAGACAGGTGCCTAACCCAAGGAGCCAGTGTGGCTGAGACGTGTTACGCATGTCAAGTCGCCGCCCACCGAAAACAGCGTTCTTTGCTATGCCTGATTGGGAGTGGCGGGAGCTAGGGCTGAAAAATCCGACATGATAAGGAATGACGGATTTCACGAAAAATTTGAATAATTTATGTGCTGTTCGCCTTCCAGAGTCGGGCACTTAGGCTTACCTGGAGACATTGAACGATATGGCGGCTAAGTGATGCCTGGCGTCTACGCTATCAACTGTTAGCTAGATTGTCCGTCTGAGTGAGAGTGTATTTCAGATGTTTGTCGTAGACTAGCTTTACATCCCCTTTTTACAGTTCCTTTCTTAAAATTATAGGGCTTGATTCAAATAAATTGACATGGCTGTACGGCAGCGAAGCATCAGCATTATCATTTGGTGCTACTGGCAATTATGTCGATGATGAGCCACCTATTTCGGTCTGAGCAACCGAGTGGTATCTGGCTCTCGAACAATCCAGATACCTATCTCAATGCTACTAGCAAGCCGCGTTCGGGCTAGTGGAAAAGTTCGTTATCCTATGTATCACCATGATAGGTGGAACTCAGCGGCCCTCAACTGAATTCTGGATTAGATCGGTCACATTACGAAAGAGTTATAAATGGATGACTAGGTCCGGGTCTGTCGGTCTTAGTGGGCAACCTGTGTTGATTCCAATTACGTGGTTTGTGTCAAACTAACGACTAGTTATAGCGAGCCTGTAGAAACCCGACTCATGCAATAAAGTTGAAATAAGCGGTCTGGTTCAGTTACCGGCCCCAACTACGAAAGTGTAATCATATCCAAAGTAGTTCAGACCCAGGCTGGAAATTATGATCTCACTAGACAGGTTTGAAGAAAAAGCCACAATCCCATATCTATTATCCATATCTGTGGTGACGCGTGATAACCCGTACTCTATTTACTTCGCTCAGTGAACGAAGTCGCTGACTGCGCATTGTCAAACGTCAACAAGCAGCCTGCACAAAACAGCGCCTATTAGAAAATAGCATTAAATAAGCTTTGCCCCTACAACCACCCAGTGTCCTGAAGTCGCAGCACAGATGGAGGTCGACGGGAACAGTGGTAACAGCCAGGAACTCTTTCACCTGTTCCGGAAATAGACAAGGCACTATTAGCAAAGGCAGACGGTGTGACAACAGCTAGTAACCAAAGACGTCCAGAACAAGGAGCAGAACACCTCCAGCAGTCAACCAGTCACCAAGGATCTTCAATCTCTCCCATAGTGGCTTCGTGAGGCATCTGCCTTCCCAAACTGAAGCAGAACGTAGAGGGAACAGAAGGCCTCAAGCTGTATGAGGCACCCGGTCCATACAGAGCTCCACTAGCCCTCTCGGACAATATAGTTGTCAAAGACCGAGTGTACACCTCTAAACGGACCCAACCCCCTTCGTTCCGCGCGCACTGAACGCCGTCAATAGGACTAACGCTCTTTTGATACTGAAACCACTTTGCACCCCATGTCCCTGATGCCTGTTTGGCACAAATCCTCCGACACATCAGGTACCACCTCAGGTTTCAAGTCTGGTCGACAGCTCGTAAAAAGGCCCTTCTGACTGTCGGTACATATCCTCTTTGTGAATTATCGTAATCTCCCCCGGACCCTCTAAATCCCATTGTACATCGGACGCAACGCCATTCATTCTATCACAGTGCTCACGTGGATATTCGGGTCCTCGCAAGTATGCTCCTCTGTTTTGTCGGGTTCGTAGATAAACCCACCACCTGACAGTGGGAATTCACGTCTTTTCGAACCGTTTGACGAATAACGCGGATTCCGAGTTACGGGCGGGGTGAAGCCTCCAAACTCACTCCCGTGTGACAAAGCAACGGGGCATATGATAACATAAACATGGAATATTGGCTTCTATTCGAATTCAACTTACGGTCTGGGGAGCCCGAACACCTGGACGGGCAAATTCTGAGGAACGTAATGCATCAAATTTTTCACGTAACTCCTGGACCGACAAGTTCGTCAGTAGGAGAGCACACTGTCCTCTTATAAATTTGGACAATTCGTCTAGGTGCGGCCGAAGAGCCTTACCCGACCTCTTCCCAAGTGCCAAAATGGTAACCTTGTTTTTCCCGAATATGATTCTTTGAAAATAATACGTAAGGTAATGCTCACTGTCCATCTTTAAGATAGTGGCGCAGCTCATTAATTTTCTGGTTTCGAGGATTGTTAAACGTAATTACGTAAGCTCTGTTATAAGAGTCAATATAACGACGGATCTATTGAGCGAATGTAAGGATGGACAGTTGAAACAACCGAACCTTTTCAATATGTTTTTTCTTCTTTGGAGCACTCTTTCCAACTTTAGTAAGATCAACTGAGAAGCGTAGGATCAGTCAACAAAAGCAAACCTTTCCTGTCACGCCTTGATAACGGCATGTTCTTTCGGGAGCTCTGGCCTTGACCTTCACGGACTCACGGATTCACGGATTGGTACACAGGATCGAGGCTTTTGTCCAAGTTCCCCGGGTCGGTTTTGTTCTTGTCGTTCAGCGGCTGTCGTTCACCCGAAAGGCATAAGTGAAAAAAGGGTGTAGGGCTGCTCGTCATGTTCTCAGTCAGGGGGAGTATGCTTGCCAGCGCGAGGCTTCACATAAATAAATGTCTAGTAGTGATTTGAACTGGACAACCGTCGGAGGAAGGTCATTCCACGCAGCTACTACCCGAAATGAGAAAAAATGTTGCCCGATGAATTGGTGCTCTCTGAGCCGTGTGCTTGCTGATTCAACGGCGAAAAACCTGTTGGCCAAGCTTTGTTCAAACAGGGCATAAGCAAGAATTAGGTTCCCTCTGAGACGACGATACTCCAGGGGAAAGATATCAAGCATCGCGAGACGAGTATCGTAGTTCACGGATTTGTATCCGCGATTTCTGATGGTAAAGTGAGAAGGACAAGTCTGATGAGAGCCCAGTTCGAAAGTTCAAAACACGAAGTGCCGTAGATACACACATGATTAGAAGGTAAGTTATCCACAGACCCTGACCATGAGGTGCCCCGCCTGGGATCGGGTTCAAATGCTGGATGGAGGATAATAAGCCATGAGCCTGGGACAGAAAGGAGTTAGGCCGACGGTTCGCCAACCTAGAAATCGCCGAACGAATTTCATTAAGGAGTGAGTGCACTCTTGTATACATGTACAGTAATTATCGCACGTGCGCGCGGCACATAATACACTGAAGTATGAGCGCCAGTGAAACGAAGTAACAAGAAGCGAGTTGTGTGGAATAGGGGAAATTTAGACGGATGATTCAATAAAGCGTAAAGGAAAAATTTACGGGTTAGTCTACTGACAGACTAAAAAAGCGACCCATCTTTTCCACGCGTGCCGGGTCAAGCATTATCTTGATTTCCACTGGTTCCTATTCACCAAACAGGCAAAAGCAAAAAATCAGTACCACAGCTCTGCGTATTTTCAGCAGTGAACAGTAAGCTTCCCAGCAAAATAAACCGCATAAAAAGGCGTACAAATGTTGTTTGAACTGGAATCTACGTGAAGCGGGAACAGCCATAGGACAGAGGTCATTCCACGTACCATGTACCCTATGTTTTTTCTTCTTTGGAGCCCTCTTTCCAACTTTAGTAAGATCAACTGAGAAGCGTAGGATCAGTCAACAAAAGCAAACCTTTCCTGTCACGCCTTGATAACGGCATGTTCTTTCGGGAGCTCTGGCCTTGACCTTCACGGACTCACGGATTCACGGATTGGTACACAGGATCGAGGCTTTTGTCCAAGTTCCCCGGGTCGGTTTTGTTCTTGTCGTTCAGCGGCTGTCGTTCACCCGAAAGGCATAAGTGAAAAAAGGGTGTAGGGCTGCTCGTCATGTTCTCAGTCAGGGGGAGTATGCTTGCCAGCGCGAGGCTTCACATAAATAAATGTCTAGTAGTGATTTGAACTGGACAACCGTCGGAGGAAGGTCATTCCACGCAGCTACTACCCGAAATGAGAAAAAATGTTGCCCGATGAATTGGTGCTCTCTGAGCCGTGTGCTTGCTGATTCAACGGCGAAAAACCTGTTGGCCAAGCTTTGTTCAAACAGGGCATAAGCAAGAATTAGGTTCCCTCTGAGACGACGATACTCCAGGGGAAAGATATCAAGCATCGCGAGACGAGTATCGTAGTTCACGGATTTGTATCCGCGATTTCTGATGGTAAAGTGAGAAGGACAAGTCTGATGAGAGCCCAGTTCGAAAGTTCAAAACACGAAGTGCCGTAGATACACACATGATTAGAAGGTAAGTTATCCACAGACCCTGACCATGAGGTGCCCCGCCTGGGATCGGGTTCAAATGCTGGATGGAGGATAATAAGCCATGAGCCTGGGACAGAAAGGAGTTAGGCCGACGGTTCGCCAACCTAGAAATCGCCGAACGAATTTCATTAAGGAGTGAGTGCACTCTTGTATACATGTACAGTAATTATCGCACGTGCGCGCGGCACATAATACACTGAAGTATGAGCGCCAGTGAAACGAAGTAACAAGAAGCGAGTTGTGTGGAATAGGGGAAATTTAGACGGATGATTCAATAAAGCGTAAAGGAAAAATTTACGGGTTAGTCTACTGACAGACTAAAAAAGCGACCCATCTTTTCCACGCGTGCCGGGTCAAGCATTATCTTGATTTCCACTGGTTCCTATTCACCAAACAGGCAAAAGCAAAAAATCAGTACCACAGCTCTGCGTATTTTCAGCAGTGAACAGTAAGCTTCCCAGCAAAATAAACCGCATAAAAAGGCGTACAAATGTTGTTTGAACTGGAATCTACGTGAAGCGGGAACAGCCATAGGACAGAGGTCATTCCACGTACCATGTACCCGAACCGAAGAAAAATTTTCCCTGACTGAAGCGTATAATTTGAGCTTGAAAATCTCACCAGATACGTGCAGCGTAATTGTGGGGACAACCGTGCAAGGCCTGTCAGGCAAAACTTGTATCAACAAGCCATATTGGAGATTTAGAACGCATATAGATAAGCATCAGGATAGCTGTGCCATAGAGATCCCTTTCAAGGCCTGGAATTTAGGCCCATGTAGAAGTGCTAACTCTGTCGATCTCTCTGGCGGCTGAACGCTTACCTGTTCCACAATTTGAAGTACTGGTGTTTTCTGCCCTCCCATAGACCACCCGCTTTTTAACTATGTTAACGATATAAAATGGTAGTTCCGTCAAACGGCCGTCCATAATCACATTTACTTAGGTCAGGCTCAAACCAAGAGTTCAAGGGTGAAGAGCACGTCATATCCTGGAATGTTACAAGGCATAAGAGGGTAGGCGACATTCGTTCATATTTGTAGGTGGCCATACCCATTCCGACTGCCCTCTGCGATATCGTCCCAGCACTCATCGATTCAGTGACTCGCTTTTCAGTGTCGTTAAGCACTGCGCCACAAAACCACGGGAATAAGACTCGATCCACATTTTGAACGCTCGCGAAACTCGCCTTCCACTACACCTTCAGCGAACCCAGCAGATATCGCGTATGTCAACAACCTTCCCGAAAGGATCTGGTTATCACCAATTGAAGACGCTTCGTTGATCAAGTGACAGAGGAGACTGTTCTGGAACTTAGTTACCGCAGTGTGCTAACGTTTGGATTCATCTGTTTCTGGGCTACAAACCCTAGTCCCAGAGGGTGGTTTCGGCACTCTTACCCGGCTGAATTTTCAGGACTGTGCATTTAACTTGACAGGCTTAAACTAGGTCCAGGTTCAATAAAGCACAATATACGACGCCCAATCCAGCGAAATCGGAGTGTAGTCTATTGAGCCGAAAGTAACCCAGGGTGGCTAGGCATCTTTTGCAAATAAAGCCCAGGTTATTCCTACAGGAGGCATAGCACGAAGCCCCTGATCTACCTAATATACCTAGTAAAACAGGCCGCGACACCCATTCTCGTCCGGAAAACCTCAAAATGTGATGTTTTCAAGTGGAAAAAGCAACTTTTCCCAAGAGTCAGATAGGAAGAGCCTGAAACATGAAGGGATTGCCGCGCAGACCCCTGTTCTTCCCGAACGAGCCAAGCATATCTGCTTTTGACAAAGCTGGAGCAGGCGGACAAGCCAACCAACTTACTGTTTGAAAAGATTTCGTAAGCTATTGCTTCAGTGCGTTGAGACTGGATGCGGTGCGTCTAAGGGCAGTGGAAAAAGCATCGCAAAGCCGCGGTAAAAGCCTTTACATGACGTTTTGTCAGTTTCTTCACGAAGGCAACGTCCATTAGCTTGGAAGAACCAAAAATCTCGAGATTCCTTGTCGCTAAAGTGCAACAAGTCTGTCGGCCAAATCGAGGTGTCATGCAGATCCGGCGCATATTGCGGTGGGCCTTCGAAATTGCGTCACTGCGAATAGTTTGGTACACAATCCGAACACAAATTCCTCCCGATCCGCTTTTGCATAACGAACGTACTTGCATTTATGGATCGGTTTACATGACTCACATACGAAAGCTTAATAACGCTTTACAACCAATTTCAGAAGGTCCTAAAGCTTCATGACCTTGGAGTTTAAAAAACTCAAGGAGGGATAATGCGCTAAATGGAGTGTTTCCTATTAACCTGAACGTTCTGTGTGAAATTGAGCACGACCTAATCTTCTTTGGCACCGGCCCCCATTGGGATTGCTAAAGGTTCCGTCTTTGGACAGCTCTTATTCCCACCTCCATCAGCGACCCTCAGTGCCCGCTTTCAAATGCAAAAATTCATTTTCCGGACGGCCCGAAATCTTGAAGTTCCGGCGAAAGCATATCTTAAACAAATGTTGACGCCACGAAGCACTGGTCACTTGAATGTTGCCGTTTTTGAAGGACGAAAATTTCGTCCATACGTCGTATGGGGGAGGCTGCGAACGCCTTCGTCATCCGAGGAAAAGATAGGCCAGAGAGCATCACTAAGCAAGACACCAAAAACAATTAGCATCTGGCCTCCGTTTAGCACGCCTTCCCCGCTCCATCAAGATAAGCCAGTTTGAAGAGTGCTCATCGTACGTCGGATCATTTGGCACATCTCCCTCAAGTCACCCGCGCAAATTTCAAGAATCTACATCAGACGACACACAGGCGCCGAGCCCTAGACGCTTACTCCAAATTTCTGGAAAACCATAGTTTGAGCGGAGGAATCACTGAAGTGAAGTTTCAGCACTTGAAGGTATTTACTCAAGGCCAAAACTCTCACCGTGCCACAGCAGTTTTGTTGAAAGTTCTTTGAACGTAGTCGAGGTTCAATATGGGCGTCGAATTAGTATTTTAATGGCTGCCAGTGTCTTTGTATGTTACACCGTGAATACGATAAAAATTTTGTCGAATAGCTCATTTTATCACGTGCTTTTTCCGTACTGAATTTTGAACTAATCTCATGATCACATGAACGATAATTAAGATCTCTTTCCACGCGCAAACTCAACATGGAACAACAATTCTTGACCCTAATAGCCAGTAGGTTGCGGGAAGCGCCATGTCAAACAAAGCCAGTGGATTTTAAGCTTGTTATGGCCAGCACATACTATATCGGATGCACGACAAGGCTTCATCTTCGCCGTCATAAAGACATCTTGGTGATACAATCAAAGATTTAGCGGGTTTATTAGCAGAACAAGGTAATGGTGGAATGAAGTGGCCAGTTCTTTAGAGTTTCTTTACAAATTTAACGGTTTGGAAAGGTCTTGTGTGTGCAGATGACGCTCGGCCGCGGGGTATTAAGGAAATGTGAACAAAGGGCAAGTCATCAGACTGGGTGTGGCAACGTCATACTTGGGTTACCATACTGCCCCGTATATGAACAGCTTGGATGAGTCAGTTTAGGTTGTCATAGCCGTTGAGATTAACCAAGGAAACTTGATAAATTAAGGTCAGCTGTTCAAGAATATCCTTCAGTCTGTCGAGGGCGCGCAGAAGCTTGTTGTTTCTACTAAAACGGAGCAGTAAGACAGCCGTGTCCACATCGGGGATCTAAGATGCGAAGGTGTCAAAATGACTGTTAGACGGAACTATAGTGGCCAGCATATGGTGGAAATCGAAAACAGCATTCAGTTGGGCGATCTTAGTTCGGATAAATGGTACTGCGATGTATAATGATAGTAATAATAATAATAATGTTTGTTCCCAACTTGTGGGTGGCATACTGTCTGGTATGATCTTAGTTTCACAGTCAGAATGGAGCATGACTGGGGAGTTGTGGGGTTGCGGGTTGTACAGAAAGAGGACAATGTTATAAATAGTGGGGAATATCCGATGATGTAGTAATAATAGGTTTCTTTCCCAACTTGTTGGGAACAACGGGTATGAGGTCCGACTGGTTCAAGGACAGCCAGGTGGCATGAACTAAAACTGAAAACCATCGCTTGCCATGAGTGACCTTGGGTGGTTAGGTAAATGGCCGGAGTCACAACGAGCAAAAGCGGCGATGAAATTGGGATGATTCAAATTAATAGCACATGACAAGTTTTGTCTCAAAAATGTGGTTTAATCTGAAAGTAAGCAGATTCACTTGTTGCACTGTTGTATGCAAGTCAGGTGCGGGGGAATAGGTCGAGTGGGGGAAGTTGCTAATACATAGGGCGACCCGAACTCCGTATACCGATTTGAACTTGTGCATGGGGCAGGCAGAACTTGCAGCAAAAAAGCCAGGCTAGCCAAATCTGAGCGAAAATTCATTGGGCACGGGAGGGTACTAGAGATGAATCCCGACCTTGACGTGGTGGTCGGGCTTGAGCGCTGCAATGATCCCGCGAGCTACACTGGCTGGAACTTTGTTCCACAAGGTACAACCATACCAGGAAAGCCAAAGTTGACCAGCCAGACCAAGAGCGGCGAGACCCCGCACCACGAGTA